AACATAAACGGGCGACAGCACTCCCCTGCTTGCACCGCATGCATCTGCACCGGAGCGAAAGTTGCCAAATGCTTCCAGGCTGCCATCCACGAGGGTCAGCTCTTGGAGGGTCTGGTAGATATCCGAGTAGGTCACAACGCGCGGGAAAATGACATTGTAAATCATGCGGGTATGGAAATGGTTTTTCGGGATGTGCTTCGATCGAAGGTGGTTGAGTTGCCGTCTAACGTATGCTGCCTTGAGAGCCAGATATCTTTCTGTCACTGGCTGGGGTTCGTAATCAACTTGGCCGGAACAGTGAAAGATGGCATTATCATTCCCGACTGCGTCCACGGACTGGAAAGTGAATTTCCGTGTCGTGGTATCTGGTTTATGTAGATCCTGGGAAGTAGGGCTCGCTAATGTCAACCTGATCAACCGCTCATCGTTTGTGTCCAGGTGCAGTAGAGGCCGGGAGAATATCATACTCTGAACAACCGGCCTATGGTCGTGCTGTGTGATTGGGTCAACTGTGCTGGCTTCGAGAAGCATTCCATGATATATGGATGCCGGACATAATGCATGGCCCCCAACCATATGCCCGGTTATGTACCTCGATATAGACGCCACTCGTGTCCCAAATTGCAGGACGGTAGGGTCTTGTCCGGATGGTGGAATATCTTCCATCAGATGGAAAGGTCGGGGAAGATCACAGGATTGTGAAAACTTTGCCCCTAATTTCGCACCATCCCGCTCCTTATACGGCACATATATGGCGCTTTGTTGGAACGGATAGCAGGGTACATCGATGAGAGCGGCGTTCGTTCCGGCAAAGACTTGACGCCAGTCAATCTCGTGATGTAGATTGGCTAGACTGCTGAGGGAATTGCAAATCGTTACCCAAGGATCCTGATTTCTTCTTAAAGATGGCAACAGAAGACAGTCCGAGCCGGAAAACACATTTTTGACCAGTGGAAGGGTAATGGGTGCAGGTCCAATCTCGATGAAGGTTAACGGACTTGGAAATCTCGTATCCTGGGAGACGGAAGCCAGCAGTGCGTCGAACTTGACTGCACCCCGGGCCTGATTAACGAAATACTCCGGCGTAAGGTCCTCAAACTGCAGCTGTCGACCGTAATGGCAAGATCCAATGGGAACCTTTGGCGGATAGAAGTTGATATTGGCACAAAATTGCCGCAACGCCCCTAAGATGGGATCGAGAGCCGCCGAGTGGAAGCCCAACGGAACGTCCAATTTTTTATACCGGCGACCATCGCGTTCGAGTCTCGCAGCCAGCCATTCGAGGTCTTCCACGGAGCCCGAAAGAACTAGGTCTGTTGTGCCGTTGACACAGGCAACCTCTAACGACGCCCGAACTCCCCGAGTGGACTTGAGCAGAGACTCAAAATCAGGCACTGAGAGATTGCAGGCCAGCATCCCTGTTCGTCCCATTTCACACTTTTCTGCCATCAACCGGGCTCGGAACGCTACCAGTGACAGTGCGTCGCTCAGGGAAATGGCCCCGCTGATGGCTAACGCGGTATACTCGCCCAAACTAGTGATCGGTCAGTCATCTAGGCAGAACCAGAAACGGATGCTCGCTCTGACTTACCTGTGTCCGAGCACAAAGTCCGGCCGAACCTTCAGAGATAGCCACAGGCAAGCGAGTGCGTATTCGACAACGAAGCAGGAAACTTGGGATACCATCAGCACATCTTCCGGTCTCGTAGGAGCGCATCCATCATTCAAATATGGTGTGATTCTGCAATAGCCAAGGGATTCGAGAATTGCATCGCACTCTTCCACTGCTCGTTTGAAGGCCGGTGCAGTAGAGAGCAAAGCTTTGCCCATGCCTGGATAGCACCCGCCTTGTCCTGAGCAGACGAAGACTACGGGTCGTTGTCCTGACTGGCGGACATGCGTCATGATGCTCCCACTTTCAAGGCTGCTCAGGACATCCTGTGTACTCTGGCATACAAGGGAAATTTGATGATCGTGCATCTGCCGTCTCGCAGTAACAGTGTAGCAAAGATTGTGCAGCTCTGTGTCTGGAGTATTCCGCAGCATCTGAATAAATGCAAGACGGTACTTCTCGAGGGCACTCGCGCTTTTTGCAGATAATCGGAAGTTATATGCTGCTCGTCTCTTTCCCCACTGCTTGTCCTCTGGTATCAGAGGAGGTTCCTGAACAACGAGCGCAGCATTGGATCCCGCTGCGCCAAAATTATTAAGCAGTGCTCTTCGTGGTTTCCCCGCGGTTGGTGCCCACTCTTTCGTTCCTGTGGCGATATGGATATTGTCGGATTGAAGCGCAGACAGGCCGGGATTTATGGTCTTCAACCCAATCTGTGGAGGAATTTTGTTCTTCATCAGCATCAGCAAGAGCTTGGCCAAACCCGCAGCACCAGAGGCCGCTTCGGCGTGGCCGATGTTGGCTTTGATAGACGTGAGGTGCAGCGAATGACGAGAGGGATGGAGCCCGCTGAACACCGAGGCGATACTTGACACTTCAGTGGCATCTCCAGCCTAGGGAGATTCAGCGACAGAGGCTTTAGCAAATACATGTGACGACCTACCTGGGTTCCAGTGCCGTGAGCCTCAACGACGCTGATGGAGCTGGGATGATACCCTGTTCTGGCGAGCAACCGCTTGAATAAGCTGGCCTGCGTCGGTCCGTGGGGATGGGTGATTGATTTGGCATTGCCGCATTGGTTCACCTCCACTTCCTTGATCACGCCATAGATGCGGTCATTTTCATCGAGGGCGTCTTGGAGACGTTTGATAATAAAGATTCCACAACCCTCAGCTCGGCTGTAGCCATCGGCACCGGCGTCAAACGCTTTGCATTGCCCATGGGCGCTCAGAAAATGTGCGCGTGCAAGTCCGAGGAATATCTGGCTCATTGTTAACATCTCATTAATTCTTCAGAGGGCAAGGGGGTGGCTGCATTTTACGTCGGGACTTGTGATGGCGTTAACTCCTCCTGCAATTGCCGCCGAACAGTCACCATTCTGCAATGCTCGGCAAGCTTGGTAAATAGCCACCAGAGACGAGGAGCACGCCGTGTCGACGACCATCGATGGTCCATTGAGGCCAAACGCATAGGAAATCTTTCCGCTCAGAAAAGCCCGAAGAGTGCCTAGGATTCGTCAGCTGGTTTCCCAATCCGTTTTGCCAGCATTCTGGTGACTGATACCGGGTGAGTAATAGACATCGATATCATCAATAAGATTCTGAACGTAGTCATCAGTGGCTACACCTATGTAACAACCGATGGAATCTCTCTGAAACGACAATGTTGCATCGGGGACGTATCCAGCATCGTCGAGGGCTATTTTGGCTCCCTGCAGCAATAGCTTTTGCTGGGGATCCATTGACTTTGCTTCCCGGGGAGAAATGTTGAAGAATCCATGGTCGAAAAGGAAAGGATTATCCAGAAAATTCCCAGTACGAGTTGCCATGGACCGCTTTCCATCGGAGTAATCACTAACCCTGAAGCGAGTATCGGGAACCTGCGATCATGTTAATGAAAAGGCGTATACACCATACAGGGGCCTCGAAAACCAGTCAATTACCTGTTGGAGGGCGCTCAGCCCATTCTCTAATGTATTCCAAAGCTGTTCCTTTGTGGCCCCCAGCGGAAAATTCACAGACATCCCGACGATAGCGAAGCCATCGCGATCTGGCTCGGAAGCGTCTTCAATGGCGCCATTGACAATTCGAGGGATCGAACGGCTCTCCCCGCCCATGGCTCTAGATGCCTGCATCAGAAACGAGTATGATCCGGGACCGATGGCAACTAGGGTTGCATTGCCGTTATTCTTCGAGTTCGATTGTATGATGTTCGCCCAGGTGTTCGCCCATTCAGAAGAGTCGATAAGAATGCTGCGCAGAACATACTCGACGAACGAAGTGTCTAATTCACGCTTGTCCGTCAACAAGGATCCATCTTTAGCAGACCATAGCGGAATCACTAGATCGGATATGTCGGGAAACGCGATATTTCGTTGTTTCACGTCCTGGAGAACCGCCTCTAGTGTAGGCAGTTCCTCGCGGCCCCCATGGTAAAGTCCGTAGACGTCAATGGACTCGCAGAGAACCGACACCGGTATATACAGGGAGCGTAGCCGCTGCAGAAAGCGACTGTCTCCTGTAAGGCTTAGCAGTGTACGTCCAGAGACACCCGAGATACGAATGGGCGCCTGGGCGGACGCAGCCTCCTATGCAATGTTAGATTGATACACTTGATCCTTTGTATTGGTAGGCTACTACGTAGATATCAGCTACTCACATTATCCTCGAACGTGCTCAAGGTCCGTTCCATCTCTGCTCTATCTAGTCCGACAACTGCCAGAGACCAGGGATACAGCTGCCACTCAGCGCCCCCGAGGCGGGCACTGAGTTCACCCACTCGATAGCCAATCCAGAAAGCAAGACGCACGGCCTCCTTGGCCCATGAGATAAATGCTGAGAGATCTCGACTGCAGGCTGCAACCGCCGCCGGCAAGATACCAGAGCAGAGTCCAGCCACTGCTGATCCCGCTCGTTGCGGCCATCCTCGTTCACCATGCAGATAATGAATCAGTTGATGGACACAGAGAACGACCCCTTGGATAACTGGGTTCTTGTGGCACTGTTCAGGCACGGCAAGCAAATCCAATGGCGCCTGAACTCCGTCAAATACGGCCCAAGCCGGGATTGGACCCAGACTTCTCAGATGCAACAGCTCGCCCAGAAAAGCGCTATGGCAGGACGAGAGTAGGAAAGAAACAGTGGTAGAAGTGAGCGTCGCTCTCCGAGAACTCGAAGTAACCGACTGCGAGAAGAGCGACCTGCTGCCCTGGCCACCGAAAAAGGCTATATGGCTGATATTGTCCATCGTGGGCGATTTCCTGATTCTGCACATTAACTTCATTAAGTGAAAGGGAAAATATATATATATATTATAATATACCTAGGTAATATAAGAACCGTCAAGTCCAAACAATAGAACAGCCACCGTGCAGTGTAGGTAGGTAATCATGCAAGTATCTTGCATATTTACAAACGACAGAAAATTAAAATACTTACATTACTATAACAGCGCTATAGCAAAGCATGCAGATCATTTTTTAAGTTCAAGGATTGTGAGATTATCATGGAAATTTTCGTTGTATACTTCGACGTATCTCCTATACTCAGATTGTATACTTAAGTGTGCTAAAAGAGTCCAAAAGAGTCCAAAATATAGGAGAATCCTGCAGCAAGCCCGGAAGATCGCAACTCGAGATGAAAACCTGATACAGAGTCTCCGTGTCCTCAAAGGGCAACACGGCAACGGTGTCCTTCTATGCGCTATGCTGAATATCTCCAGCGCACATTACGCGGCTGTTCGACACCAAATCGCGGAATGGGCCATTTTCGACCGGGTCTTCACGTCCGGTGAGACAGGCATGCGCAAGCCTGACTTGTGCTTCTACCGACATGTACTCAGTGAGATCCGACAGCCTGCCGAAAAGGTGATCTTTGTCGAATCAAACCCCGAGGACGTTCTACCTGCTCGATCCATCGGCAGTCGCGTTGTCCTCCACACACAGGCATCCAGTCTTCACCAACAGCTACAGAACTTACTGGCAGATCCCATTGAGCGAGGAAACGAGTTCCTCCGCGTAAATGCAAAACGGCTAGACAGCGTCACAGACACCGGCGTTACTATTCGGGATAACTTCACCCAGCTCTTAGTGTTGGAAGCTACTAAGAATCGGTATAGTCTCGCTCTGTCCAAGCAAATGCGGCTCGAAAAGCTAAAGATTCTAATCCAGTGATCTGATCTACCTTGAGGAGCACCCAAGGACGTGGAACTTCTTTATAGGTGTGTCGAAATCTAGCATTGTGGAAATTAGCACCCCGAAGCTTACTGTGATATATAGGGAAGTCGTTGCTCACGTCCAGTGCGTATCCCGATGACTTCGACACTACAAGCACAGCATTGACCGTCCTGGAGCCCGACAGAAAGATTGTATCTTCGGTCTTGGATGAACTAGCTGGCTATGTCAGCAACGACGGCATTGTTCTGGTATCCTCCTCACCATGCAACATTTCAGGCAACAACCAACTAACCTCTCCTGGGAAAGACGTACTTTGACCGCTCTAGACCGCGTTGATCCGGTCGTCTGCGTCAATGTCCTGAGAGTTTTCTATAAGCATGGACGCGGTCACGAGCTACAGAACACCCTCCATTGGGTGCGCGACGTGCTGAAGAGCCGGGCCTATATCGAAGGCACGCGATATTACCCGACTCCCGAAGCATTTCTGTACTTCCTCGGCCGTCTGCTCGAGAGTGCAAACGACGTCTACCTCCACCGCGAACTCTTCCTTCTTCTTCGAGAGCGAGTCCAGGAGCGCGTCGGGCTTTCCGGGGACGCACTTTGTCTTGCCATGCGTCTGCTCACCTGTCAGTATGTCGGGATTACAGATGAGGCCGATCTAGCGAAACTCTGTTCAATGCAGTGCGAGGACGGGGGATGGGAGCCCGGGTGGGTGTATCGGTACGGGAAAACCGATGTCAGGATTGGCAACCGGGGATTGGCAACAGCTTTGGCTGTGAATGCGCTATCGCAAGCGGAGGTACACAAGACTTCTCGAGACGCTGGGCTCAAGCGTCAAGGTGTGTTTAGTATCAGTATCCCGACGGGATTCAAGTCACTCTACTGGGCCCTCGTGAACTGGATGTATTCTTATCGGCAATCGGTCAAGATTTCGTCATAAGAATAGAGAATGCATACGCCGATCTGGCAATTCCTTGAGACCTCCTTAACTTGGGAAAAGAAAGAAGAAAAAAAAGTTCAATGACATACCGTACTGGTTCAAGCCTGACTGCACGCAGTAGTCCTGGTAGTGCTGATATCTTGATGGAGGCCTATCGTAAAGGTCTACTGGTAAGAAAGAACGAGAAGAATCCAGCACAATACATTAAAAGCAAAAGGCAATATGGGGTGTGGGAGAGAGAGAGACAGATGACCTACATGGTAGATTGGGTGCCTGAGGCATCCAATACTCGTCATATCTGGGCCAGGTCCGTGCAACTGATGATCTATAGAACCCCAGGACGACTTCTAGGTTATAACTACTTGGACATAATCTTTGGACGGACATACTCTGTAGTACCGTAGCCTTCGCGGAAGACAGAAATCAGGGGCTGGGAATAGGTATTCTTATCGTTGATTCCGCGACTCCGTACTTAGCACGGAGTGAAGCCACAGCAACAAGATCTATAGTATGTACCCAGTAGTATAAGTATACCCAATAATAATCTATAAGAGCTACAGTGCTTCGTCTGACAAAATCCGAGCAAGAACTGCAGCCATGACTCCGACAGCCGGCAAGCGAAATCGATCGCCAGTGGCAAGGGTATCATGCATGCTAGATTCCCTGGAGACCCAGCTGAACCGCCTCTGCGCGCGCTCGCGACTCTTCACTCGGAAGAACTGGCAGTACTGCTGTCTCCTGAGTGGCCAACTCTCATTCCTCAGCGCCTTCATGGTCCTCGTCGCCGGGGGGTTTCCCCCACCCATGAAGCCGACCTGGTCCGCCGAGAGGGTCCACGAACACTACTTCTCGCACAAGGAGGGCATCCGGGCCAGCGTGCCCCTTCTCCTTCTCTCGGGCGGCTTTTACCTCCCGTTCGCGGCTCTGCTCTCCAAGCATCTCCGGCAGATCCCCGGCATCGATCCCATCCTCCCTGACCTCCAGCTGGCGGCGGGGGCCGCAGGTATCTTCTCCATCATGGTCCCCGCAAGCTTCCTCGGTCTGATCACCTTCCGCGACTACGGCCCCGACTTGACTCTGTTGATCAGCGACCAGTTCTGGCTGAATTTCTTCCTCCCCTGGCCTACTTTTCTAATCCAGGCGTGGACTGTGGCTTGGGCCGCCTTCGCTGACACCAGCGCCAAGCCGATCTTCTCCAAGACAGTCGGGCTGATCAACTTTGTCGTGCCCTTCTTTTACCTGTCACTGACTGGCGTGCATGTGCAACATGATGGGCCCTATGCTTGGAGCGGTGCGCTTACTTTCTGGGTGACGGCGGTGGCGTTTGGCGTTCAGATCGGAGCGGATACAAACTGCCTGTTTCAAAGGATTCGAGCCATGCCCAACGATGACGGCGCCATTGAAGAAGAGGAAGAAGCTCAAGGTATCGCAAGCCCCTAGGTTACGATAGAACGCAAAATAGTGAATACGACAATATGACTCACCCCGGCGAGACATTTTGTTTTTTTCTAGCTACTTTGCAAACAACCCATAGACAGTCATTCCACTGTAGTTGTATGCAAGCTTAGGCATCATCTCTCGGTTTCCAGAGTGCCAGGAGTACAGCAACAACGCCTGAAGCTCCGACTACTGCCACTCCGAGCTACTTGCTTGTTTGTCAACATTCGGCCTGTATCCCAAACCAGATGACGGATGCCATTGAAGCTGTGGAAGACGAATGGAAGGGCAACTCCAAATTTCAGAGCGAACTGAGCCCATGGCGAAAGGCTACCAAACGCAGCTACCAAGGACTCGGACCCGATATTCCACCCAGTCACTGGGGATAAAAGGTAGGCTGTTGCATAAAGGTATAGTCCACCGGCAAGGGCAACGCCAGTAATTCGAGTCGCTATACTGACGATCCATGTGATCTGGGGACGGTAAATAGAGAGATGAGGGGAGACTGGACGTCGTAAGCGTTGCTGTGCGAGAAGATTCGTGGGGTTGTTGGGTGTTTTATTGAGCTGCGACGAATATCTGAGACTGAGACTGTACTCCGTAGACCAGAAGCAGGTCATTAGCCAAGGGTGGGTGGGGATAGCTATGTAGAGGCTGCTTGGTGCTTACCTTCTTGGTAACGCACATCGCTGGATCAAGCCAGCGCGGCCCAGCCCAACCTGGACGGAGCGAGCTGGACGATCGTGAGGTCAGCAAAGGCGTTCGTACATCAATGCCAGGTAGGGGGGAGCAAGAGTTCATACATACCGCAACCTTGGAGCGGTCGGAATCTGATAAGAACCATAACGGATGGATGAAGATGAGTTAGTTAGTGAGAGATGTGAGGCAAAGGAAAAGGAGGGAGGGGGAGGTTCGACAGTTTTGTTTCTTGTTGATTGATCTGGCCTTGCCGCATTGACCACCAACAAAGACCCGTCTGCTGTAGTGAGTCAGACTTCCAGTTGGTGTCGCACTGTCGATTAGCTACTATTATTTCCGTCGAGTGGACCGCTCGGGATTATGATCCTTCTGATCCTTCAATAATGCAACAGTGGCTGTAACGGGTTCCTGTTCCCCGACTAAGCGCCGGAGGTCCGACTACTGAAGAAAGTACTTTTTACCTAGGTACTGCGTTTTATTTAACAAGAGATCATGGCTTCTGTCCGCCCGCAGCGCAGTATGCGCTTGCTGCTTCGGTTCCTGGGCTTGCCCTTGGAGCCATGGTTCTTCACCTCACCTTGTACTGAGACGAACCACCCATGGTGGCTCGGTGACCCTCAAACATGAAAGAGTTTCCGGCAATGCAGCCCTTGCCCTTTTCCCGCGACTTGGAGGATCACGATTCATGATCTGCATTGGGGGCGAGACCGAAAAGGCCCACCTGGCGGGATCTATTGGTCTGTCCAGCCGGGAATATACCATTGGACAGCTTGGATGTCATCATGTCAGGATGTGATGTGAATACCTTACTGGGCTTCTTATCTTGCCGCTATGGGTCTACCGTCTACCCGCCCGCAAGGCCGCAATCTTGTTTTAGCCGCCGAGTCAGTCAGTATTGCTCCCCTCTCACTGTCGTGTATGGTGGCAGTATAATCCCGAGCATATAAGGGGGACGCGCTGACCGCACGTAGAGGTGGCTATTGTTATCTGTTACGCAATACTTGATTTAGGAAAAGCACTGAACAGGCCGGTCCTACTGCGTGCTCTTAGCTGATTGGTACACATTAGACACGGGGGCTCTGTACAGATTACCTGCCTGCTCGTCCGAACTTCTAGCACAGCGCGCGGTTGATCGCAGTGAGTACAATCCATCACTGGCGCTTTTCCTGTTGGAGAGAATTGGTTAACATCCCGGAATAGAGGTCATCATTCGAACGCGAAATTTACCTAGGATAAGTCGCCCATGCAACCGACAACAGCAACCGATGTATACTTCGCCCTTGACGGCCAAGGCGCCGTCACTGCGATCAAAATCAACGAGGGAGAAATCATAGAACGCAAAGTCCTCTCGGAAACCCAATTATCGCCTTCTTGGGTCAATGCTCTGCATGAGATGAGAGCGAGTATGGAGACAAATCCTATCGAGCCGTGCGGTATCTCGTTCCCCCAGCAGCATGGCAGCCGCGCTCTCCGACTCGACCGGACACGCTTCGCTGCTTCAGATCGGGAACACGAACCAGTAGCTCCCTACATGCAGGGACTACTACAGCCATGTCTAGACTCCACCCTCCCATTGGAAGCGGGGGTAAGGACCGCCAACTCGGGGGTGGAATCTCCGTTCGACATCCCTGGCTTGTCCGATACCTGGGATGATGTTGATCTATTCAACTTGTCGTGTGTTCCTGTCTTGGTCGAGAATGCGCCAATTGATCATGTTTCCAGAGACTCCAATATTAGGGACCCAAGGACTGATGGTGGTTGCGAATCAAGACCTATGGGACTGAAACGGGCACAAAAACTTCATCGAATGTTGCATGCGCTAGAGAACCTCCCAATAGTCAGCCGGGAAGACCATAACAGACTGATTGAGGCGCTCTACAACGGGCCGCAACTACTCACATGCTCGCAGGATGTGTCGATGGTCCAGTTCGCCGCAGTTCTTGGTAGACACAGCAGCGTTTCCGCCGCGGTAGGAACAATATATGGATTGCTTAGCTGGAAAATTTTCGGATTAGAGGAGGATCGCCTGATAAAGGAGGAGAGGATGTCTCCTTATATTGCTTCGAAGCAGGTCCGATACATCCCATGTTAGTCACACTGTCAATTGAGCTCGCTGACCCGCAACCTTACCATCCAGATGAATCAGAAAATGACAAGTGCACTGCGCCGCCGGGGGAAATCGAACGACTGGGCAAGCGATGGACGCAGAGCGGCAAAGGCTGTATTTGGAGCTTTGGAGGGTGTCGGTATCCAAGAGCAGTCATTTGCCCTGATACTCCTTGCAGGTAGGGTACCCCCCACCCCTTCATATGCGCCTTGGTGCCTCTACTTATGTGTTTGCATAGAAGTTTTTAGTCTTGACTACCTTTTGAAAATTGCACACTTCCCCTCTCTCAGAAAGTCTTTCCAAGAGCAGTTAGCGAGAATTGTTGGACCTCGGAGTGTCGAATGGAACGTCTATCTGGAAAGCGGCTACAAAGTGTTTGACTATCAGCTATTCTTGCGTCTCAAGAGTCACTCTCTACCAGGCTACGAGTCGGCCAGTCAAGTGACATGAAAACTGAGCGATTTTGAATCCACTGCTGCAGAGATATTCTAGCGAGGTCTCAAAGTGTCGTCCAATACTGAATCTGCCCAGCGGGTCATAGAATGAATAAATGTACGACAAACACCTCAGTGCAGATCTCACCGTAAAACAAACAGATTTTTGCTCACCATTTCCTAACGTCAAAAAGGTAGTTGTTCGCTGAACACCACAAGTTTTCGTAGAGAGAGTCAACCACTGGCTCAACAGCTTGACTAACGCGGATTACTGGAGTTAGTACTGGACCAGCGCTAGGTACTCAGGTCTAGATTCGGTGCTGACACTGCTGAGTCTGCAGATGCAGTACGTTCTTGGCCTCTTCCGGTATGAAGGCGAAACTCCGTGCTTAGCACGGAGCTTAAGCACTAGAGATAATTCACACCTAGTACATCCGAAACTTGATTTATGTTGTCCTATTGCGACTCGCTATATCCTCATTTCCATTTCCATGCCCAGCAAACGGTCAAGAACCATCTCACATACAGCCCAAGCCTTCTATGACTGCCAATGATGATGTTGGTAGATGACTTTGGTACATGGCCCGTCGCCGCGGCGATGGCTGTCCTCTTTATTGGCAAATGCCTACTAAGCATATATTGGCATCCATTGAGTCGATTTCCCGGGCCTAAACTGGCCCTCATCGGGCCGTTCTGTGAGTTCTACTATGATGTTATCAAGGACGGGACATTCCTCTGGGAGATTGAGAAGATGCATCAAAAATATGGTCAGGCAAAAGACCGGGTCCATTTCTATCTACTTTGACGAAAGGAAACGCTAACCACCCCGCAACAGGACCAATCGTTCGGATCAACACGAGGGAGCTGCATATTCGTGACTCGGAATTCTACTCCCAGATATACGCTGGAAACAGTCGAAGGATCGACAAAGACGCCCCAACTGTTCAGGCCTTCTCCGTGCCCACCTCCGTGGCGGCTACTGTCGACCATTACCACCATCGTGCACGCCGCGGCTATCTCAACCAATACTTTTCGAAGCGCTCTGTCGGCGATCTCGAACCCATCATTCAAGAGAGAGTTGACCGGTTATGCGGACGCTTCGAATGTGCGTTGCAGACACACAGGAGGTGATCAGCCTGGACTGTGCCTTCTCCGCTCTGACGGCGGACATCATCACTTCCCGCCTGTATGGAGAGCACTTTGACTATCTAGGGCTCGAAGACTTCAAATTCGCCGTCCGGGAGACCTTTGATGGCAAGTCTCAAGCTCCTCCCAATCGCGATCATCAGATTGATCATGCCGAGTGCGGCCGATCTTCTGGAGATTCGCGAGGGCATCAAGCGCAATTTCCTTTCTGCTCTAGACGCCAAGAGCCAGACTCAGTCTAGTAGATCAGTCATTGCAGCTGCGCTCAAAGATCCAGAGATCCCGCAGGAGGAGAGAAGCATCGACCGTCTGATGGATGAAGGGACCACTATTATTTTCGCTGGGACGGAAACTTCTGCGCGAGCCATGAGTGTGGCCTTGTTCCATCTGCTCGACACCAAGTCGCATCTGAAGAAGCTGCGAGATGAACTCAGCTCCAGCCCGGGGACTCGAGCGAGCAAAGAATGGACTCTCTCCGATCTAGAAGCTCTTCCATTTCTGGTGGGTCAATTTTTTCCCCCCGCCACCGGTAGAACTTTCCAGAGCTTGTCTTAACCTCGTATATCTAGACCGGCGTCGTGAATGAATGTCTTCGCTTATCCTTTGGTGCTGTTGGACGTCTTCCGCGGGTAGCCACGCACGATGCACTGCAGTACAGAGACTATATAATCCCACCAGGCGTGAGTAATCCATTTGGTCCCTCTACGCCATCAAGGATTCATACTGATCCATACTGCCATCACAGACTCCTGTCAGCCAGTCTACCTACTTCGTCCATACAGATCCAGCAGTATACCCCGACCCATTTGTCTTCGATCCCGAGCGATGGATCAAGGCTGAGAATGACGGCGTGCCGCTGGGAAGGTACCTAGTCAGATTTACCAAGGGAACACGCCAGTGCCTGGGATTGAAGTAAGTACTCTGTGACGAACCCTCCCAGAATCAAGGTGGGCCTAATTGAAACATCATTCTCCAGCATGGCGTACGCCGAACTCTACATTGCTATCGCTAGGATCGCGCATACATTCGACATGGAGCTTTACGATACAACTCAAAAGGATATCGAGGTTTATCATGTCCGTTTGGTAGGGTATCCGAAGAAAGTGCGCGGGCAGTCGCCAGGAAGGGGCCAGGTCAAGGCCAAAGTGACCGGCATAACCGAAGCGAAGGCTAAATAAATATCGTCTAAAAGTGGGCTCACTCTCGCTGTCTCGCACTAGGCAGTTGGTGGATTCGCGGACTTCCAGATACTCAAGATACGGTCTACCTATCGTTCCAGCATCTGTCACATCCAGCCACAATATAAAGTCCAGTGGTGAAGGAATACAACACCGCCGTATCTGAAATTCGGTGCCTTACCTGCCAGTCATGACGAAAGGCAGTAGTAATAGGATTCCTGGGAAACACTCAGTGTGAAGCTACACTATGCCTAACTGAAGGAGGAGCTACAGCTACTCAGGCCAAAAGAGAGAGCGAATGAATGTGAGTGGTATGGAGGGAGTCAGAGCTACTGATATCTAGATGGGTGGTCACCTTACCACCATCAACACTAACTATCACTGTTTCTGAAGACGCGGGAAGAGTGCCCGCGCGTTCTTCCAATAGATCATCTCTCTTTTCTCCTCATCCATCGGGTACTCGTCCAACTCCCTTGCAAAAGCGACAGTTGCTGGGGTTGGTGCAAAGGGGAAGTCACTACCGTACAAGATATGATCGTGGGGCACGTGCTGCAGCAACAGATCCAAAGTATACGCAGAGCTCGACAGAGCCAGATCAAAGCAGAAGGCTCTAAAGTCCTCGAGGATCTCGTGGCCCGGCTTGGGTGGAGGGTCGAGGTGGGCGGCAAACGTTGGGATGAGAGCCGATACTCGCCGAATCAGGTACGGGAGCGTGCCGCCGGCATGGGACAAGATGACTTTGCAGCTGGGGAAGTCCCGCAGGGTGTTGTTCATAATCATATCCAGCGCTGTGTTGGTAGTTTCCTGGGGGAACTCGGCGACAGTGGGGTCCACATATTTGTTGAATCGGGCCCCCCCGAGGAAGCTGGAGCCTGGGTGCACCAACACCACCGCACCACGCCGGTTCAATTCTTCCCAGATAGGGATGAAAGATGGATGGCCCAGGTATGCATCGCCGTAGCGAGCAAGCAGCATCACACCGTCTGCTTGCAGATGGTCAAAGGCATGGCGGATTTCCAGCAAGGAATTCTCGGTGTCCAACAGCGAGGGAATCGCTGCAAAGAATCCAAATCGCTTTGGTCTTGGTCTCGTACTTGGGCTGCATATCTGTTGACCTGCCTTGCTATCGCACGGTCTTCATCGCCCTCGAAGGCAAAAGTAATTGGGAAGGACAGAATGGCAGTGCTTGCTCCAACGGTGTCCATGTACTCGCTGCTCACTGGGGGTGACCAGCGCGGGACCGGCGGGCCCTTTCTCTGCCCGATTAACGACTGAGCAAGTTCTGGAGCTTGTCAGTCTTGCTTTCGTTCTGTTGGGACTTGAAACCTACTGGCAACAATTTCCTTGGGTAGATAGTGGTGGTGGACGTCAATCTTTCCTTCCATGTTGATTGCTATGGATTTCCTATAGGTTGTAGTCGCGAACGCTTCGATTCTCGTGGGAGATCTGGCTGTTTTATAAGAATGAGAATGCAGTCTTTCAATTTCAGCTGTGTATATTCTACATATATATATAGGTATGTATGCTCCGTGCCTAGGCACGGAGCATGGGAATGTGATCTCTCCCCACATGTGCATATATTTAGCCATCTTCCTCACCAAGCAGGTCCAATTCTCAACTTGCCACGCTTGTTCCATGGTAGCCTACTTGCTCTCTCCCTTGAAAATGTCCCCCAAAGCCAGTGCATCGACTATCCTCTCTTACCTCCCCAGTTCTTGGGTACCGTACGCCCAGCTAATCCGACTTGACAAGCCCATTGGATTCGCTATCGTTTATCTCCCGTACCTCATCGGTATTATTTATGCGGCCGGTATCGCACCTGATGCCCTCCCCGTCTCTGAGCTCCTAGATCGCGCCCGGATCTTCCTGACGGGGAGCATTCTTCTGCGCTCCGCAGGATGCACCTGGGACGATATTGTCGATCAAGACTTGGATCGCAAGGTTGAGCGTAGCCGTGGACGGCCGATTCCGCGAGGCGCCGTCTCTACCACCAAAGCGTTTTTGTTCGCACTCGCCCTCTCCGCTATGGGCGTATACAACCTACGGTTACTACCCATCGAGTGCTCCTTCGACGCAGCAGTCATCGTTGCCCTGTCGTTGATCTACCCTTACCTCAAACGAGTCACCAATTACCCCCAGGTCGTGCTTGGTCTGACGATCGCATTCGCCATCATTATGGCAACACATTCGCTGGGGGTGGATCCCTGGGCCTATCCCACTCACATCTCCACATTGAGTCTGTATCTCTCGATTGTGTTGCTGATGATGTTGTACGATATTATCTACGCGCGGCAGGATACCACGGATGATGTTAGGGCCGGCGTGAAGAGCATGGCAGTGCGCTTTCGACATTCCATCAGGTTGCTGGCTTCTTTGATGGCCCTGGCCATCACAGTCTTTCTGAGTATAGTGGGCATCGGGTCATCGATGGGCCTCGTGTATTTCGTCCCCGCGGTTGGTGGCACAGGGTGCAGCTTGTTTGCTATGGTCTTGCTCATGGACCTGGACAACCCAGATAGTTATCACAGATATGTTGGGGGCGCGTACATGGTGACTAGTCTTTGCATTCTTGGGGGCATGGCTGGGGAATATGCCTGGAAGTAAGCAAGAGCGTGCCCGCGGTTGGACTATGTTTTACACTCTACTATAAGACTTCCACCGGTGTCTGCTGCGCGCATCTAGTCAACATTTACCTAGAAAAGAGAAATCTCGTTCCCAAAGTTACTACTGCATTTGCTTTCATGATCTTTTCGGTATAGAGTTCAATCTCCTTTTCATGAAAACACGTAATTGTCATGAAGTGACACTTTAGTCTTTCAGAAACGCAGTAGGAGCGGCCCTTTCGTGCTAATATCGACTACCTTTCATTTCCTCGAAGACATCTGTCCGATACAACCGTCATCTAAACCATTGAACGTATAACGATGTCCGTTCCAGTGTTTGGGTAGTTGGTAGGTGTTTATCGACTGGTATCATGAGAAAAAAATATAAACCACCTGCAAGTCTTGTTTAAATACCACTTCTCTCATTCTTTTCATTACCTTCCCTGCTTCGAATTCGGCATCCTGCAGTAGGTAGAGACTCTCTTTAACCTGGACTCGTGATTACCAATATCCCTACATTAGTTATGCGTGATACCTCTTTGGAGGAGCAACTGCTCCGTGCTGTCGGAAGCGACGTTTCACTCGTGACCTTCCCCATGACTCCTACGAGCGTTCCGGTGTTCAATCGCAACATTCCATTGACACCAAAAGCGATCACCTTTCCACAATCTGTTGAGCAAGTGGCGGAAATAGTAAAGTGTGCTGCCGCTGCCGGGTACAAGGTCCAGCCAAAGAGTGGCGGGCATAGTTACGCAAACCATGGTATAAAGTCCTCCAATTGACGGGCTTAACTCAGAAGCTAATTTTGTTAGGATATGGGGGCGCCGACGGGGCCGTCGTCGTGGATTTGAAGAATCTCCAGAAACTCTCCATCGACGACTCGACTCACGTTGCAACCTTTGGGGCGGGCGCTCGCCTGGGAGACATTGCACGATTTCTCTATAAGAATGGAAGAGCCATGGCGCATGGAACATGCCCTGATGTCGGCCTCGGCGGACACGCTACCACGGGGGGTATGGGCCCTGCTTCACGCCGATGGGGGCTGGCGATTGACCACGTCCTTGAGATGCAGGTTGTCCTCGCGGATGGACAGATCCTTCGAACGTCTCAGACAGAGCACGATGACTTGTTTTTTGCGCTAAGAGGTGCCGGCGCCAGCTTTGGGATTGTGACTGAGTTCGTGATGCGGACGCAGCCAGCACCTACACAGGCCGTCCAGTATGAGTGTCTGTTCGATTCTACCGATCCAGTGGTAAGATCGAATATTTTCAAGGCCTGGCAGCAGCTGGTTGCAGACCCTGCGCTCCCGCTAGAGCTGCACAGTATAATCGATGTATTCGAACATAAAATCGTGATATCGGGAACCTTCTTCGGCCCACGGGAGAGGTTTGATGCTCTTGGCTTGAATGCCCGCTTTCCGGAGAGTCAAGGCAGCAATGTCACCGACACATCAGACTGGATGCAGTTGGTCGACAGCTGGGCGAACCATGTGCTTCGCGAATTCGGTGGCGGAGCGCCACGAGCCTTCTTCGCAAAGTCGTTGAACTTTAACGCCCGAAGCCTCATGCCGCCACCCGTTATCGACGCCTTATTCCACTTTCTAAGCTCATGGGCTCGGACTCGAGGGAGGCTGTTTTTATCGTTTCATCTCGGAGGCGGCGCCATTGCGAACGTTCCAGCGGACGAAACAGCGTATCCGTATCGAGACACTCTATTTTGGGGGCAGTTTGCTGTGGCTGGACCGGGAGTCTTGCCTGAGAAGTCCAAGGAGTTTGTTAGCTGCATCGTTAGTATCATCACCGGGGGCGTGCCAGACGGCGTCTTTGGGGCATACGTGGGACACGTTGACGCCTCCTTGCTCAATCCCCAAGAGGCGTACTGGGGTCCAAACCTCCCCCGACTGGGGCAGATCAAAACAGCTGTTGATCCCCGAGACGCCTTTCATAATCCGCAAAGCGTGGCTGTACTCGAAGAACCAGGCGCTTGAGTTGTTGGTCCTGTTGATGGAGGTGACCGCCCATCAGATATCAAAGTAGCTCTCTGTTGGAAATAGAATACTGCCATGATTACAGATATGAGACCCTATCCTGACTTGGATATAGTCCGGACACCCTTTTGGCCTAGCGGTATAATATTTTGATACTCTCACACTCTTCATCCTTCTTCTCTTCATATCACTCCCTTCATTCCGCTCCCCTTCCAGCTTGTAGGAGCTCTACGTAGCTGCTCTTCTTCTTCTCTAGTTGCATTACATGCTCCAACAGCTACTAAGGAAAATTCGTCCATGTGAGAAACAAGTATATCCCCTGACATGACGTGATTGTCCCTCATTTGCGTCTTCAAGAGTGACTTAAGCATGGAATATAGGGTCGCCAGGGCTGTCATGAAGCCATTTCTATCCGAGATTAGCGGGCTATACGCAACGATAAGAACCTGGACAAGGATTTACTCAATGACGATCCTGGCTACATCCTGATCGGGATGTTTGCGTTTGTTTGCTGATTCTTCTTCAGCTCGTCCTGTCCCGTTACATAATCAAGGATCCCTTGATTCTTCCGCGGCCATGCTCGAAGCTCGACTTATCGACTAACACTCTTTCAAAGGCATCTCTTCAGATGATTGCAATTGATAACATTCAGCCAATGGGTTTCATGGCATCTGCTCCGTTGCTCCACAAAGGAATGAAGCTTCTCGGGGAGAGTGGGAGAACTTATATTCTTATCGCTCCTTTGGTACAGCGTAGGATCCCCAACGTCTGGAAGGCGCATCAGTGGAACAACGAAAAGGATCAGTTTGTCATTAAACATCCGCAGTCTGATGACAGCCCTGTAAAAGGATGGCCCGCTTTTCGAAAAGAGATGGAGATGCAAAGGCTCTTCCGGCCTGCAAAATTTATCCGCAAGATGGTTGATGCCATTCCCCCGCGTTCTGACACGGAACCAACAATGATGGTTTTGGAGCCGTTTGAAAAAACACTGTGGTCAGCGCGAACACGACGACCGCTTACAACCCGCGAAATCAAGCATATCATGAAATTGGCACTTCTAGGTTTACGGGAAGTCCATGAGAAGGGTCTCGTCTACTGTGGTACGTTTCCAGTAAGGAGCGAACAGTGCAGAAAAAAGCTCATATGGACAGACTTCAAGATGGAAAACGTCCTTCTAAATGGATTTGATGATACAGATCCAGCTAGCGACGATGTGGCGATTCCTTTGAGAATCAATGCAAAGTTGGCAGATCTTGGTTCTGGTAAGAACTGGACAAATCCAACGCTCACTGTTGAAGGGCTGCTATTGATAACTGTTAACACGTCCATCTAGTCATGGCGCCCGACCGAGGTGAGGTGACTTCCATCACATACAGGAGTCCAGAAGTCTACTTGGGCAAGGCATGGACAAGTGCCATCGATATCTGGGCATGGGGAATTGCAGTAAGGAACTCGACAGCTTTGAATATGATGGATGTGCTAAGCAATGGCCCACAAAGTACTTTCAACTCCTCCAGGCGCAGATTGATTTACATTCACCCGGTATATATGATTCGGTAATCAAAGAAGGCGCACTCGAACAGAAGGCGCAGATGGTTCGAGCGTGTCAGTGCCATGACTTTGACCTTCGTTCAGTTGAATACTTTCAGGATTGCGATTTCTCGGCTATTGATGATCGCGGAGTAAAAGGTGGTCTAAATTCCAGCGAGGAACATTGGACCGATCGCTTGGTAGCTTTAGGGATTCCAGAGTATGATGTTGTCTTCCTCTATGCCGTCTTACAACCCGATCCAACGAAGAGGATGACAGTGGATCAAATCCTAGAAACGGGGTATTTAGACGTCTATTGAGCTCATAACTCAGTCTTATTCTGTCGACTCCTCAAAAGGGGGACCGGAAGCAACCGTCTGGGCGCAGAATAAGGGCGCAGAATAAGGAGGCAGAATGGGGAGATTGAAGGAGTTAGAAAGCCTCAATCATTTGCAAATCTGGAGTTGGACGAAGAGTTATCACCTCGGGAATCGCAGGGTGCCGTTTCTGGCACCACCAGGGACACCTGTGGTCGTTGCAAGCTGGCAGGCGGCGGTGTCAATCGAAAATGAAGCTGTGCTGGCGTGCCAGTGAACTTGCATTTCCCCTGATTTTCTTATGTCGCCGAGCCAACGCCAGAGCAGAGATGGTTAATAAAAGCCCGAACATCGGCTACTTTTCGTTGGTGTAACAGGAGATCATTCTTGAACACAAAAGTAGCCGGTGAATTTTGTTGACAAGGACCGAAGAATTCACAGGAAACTGGTCCAATTCAGGCAAAAGGCAAGAAAGAGTGTTAGTCTCCAGACCGGGGGGGTGGGTGTTCATGAAGTCTGCTCGACGTGAGTTGAATATGATGATGGATTTAGTTCGGGAGGCACGAGGTGCGTCGAACAAGTCCGGAAAGCGACCCTAGGGATACATCTTAGACTTAGTATTTCCTACTCGATCATAACAAGATACTCGAGGATTCCTTTCCAAGATATATACGCGCAGGGTGCAGAGATATGTAAGGCTAGGAGATAAGTTTAATCTAGCATTCCTGTTGCTGCTGTCTGCTCCTTTGACAGCGCGCAGAGCCATCCTACACTGTAATCACTGTGCGTTAGCTCCGTCGAACGTGACTTGCAGTCCGTATTGTTACTATCTGTCTTGCTAGAGGCAGGATTTTTGTCATCACTGATCCCTCTGTGTCCTCCCGACATTTTGGATCTGTCTGGATGTTACATGTTCGGGCGATGCGGTTGTTGGCTTGTCAGTTGACAGATATTGACGGCTCGTTTATGTAGGCTCGCTTTCAATAGCAATCTAAACTCGAGGATCCGATCTGAATGTGTATGCTGGTTTAGTCGGTGGTGATTATGGCGAGACTAGGCAGTCTTACTTTGATTCAAGAGAACTCAGGAGAGAGTCTCCGGTGAGGGCGACGGACTAAACCACAGTAAAGAAATGGTATAATTGCAAGTGATCTAATGAGAAGGGAGAAGGAAAAGAGGCAGGATGCAGACACAGCTGCTAATTAAGCCTCGTGTTTGAGAATCTGGCGGGTGTTGGAGGCTAATATGGGTCGACTTTGACGTCGCAACGTCGATTTTCAGCATGGGGCCCCTTAAGCAGGCGGCGTACTGCAAATATGAAGATGAACTTGTTGCCAGCTTCGGGCAAGCTTTGGTTTGTCTAGCTTATTTCTCCTATCAGCACTTTTCCGCGCCAGCTCGGGACCGACTGACAAAGACATCAGCTCCTTCGGCCATACAAATAAGCTCCTGCGACATGTAGGCTCTAAGTAATTCGATGTCCTGACATAAGGCTTTGCAGATCAAGACCTTCAATATCATGGCTCAACGTGCCGAATAGGCATTCAAACAATGAGAGAAGCAGTTGTGGAGGTGCGTGGGACTATAGTTTGAATATCTGGAGGGCTGGCCATACCATTGCGGTGCTTGGATGACAATAATTTCTCCACGAGTTGTCTGCTCAAATCCAGGAAAGGAGCCACAGGACTGGGCGAAAGCAGGCTGTTTGATTGCATCTGCTTTTTGGGAGCTCCATACATAATTGAACTGCACTCAAACCCACATCCTCAGCTGTCACTGAGAAGGGCCTCGTGGCGGTTATGGAGCAGGAGAATTATGTTGCTGATGGCTTGCTCTCTGTGGCCATTCATTGATTCTAGGACGTCATTAGTTATAGGCTTGTCAGAAAATGTTGGCCTTACCGAGGACTCTGTCTGGAATCGGAAGCTTGAGATGGTTAATCCAGCCCTTACTCCGCGACATTGCAGTCGAGGTAATTTCTTGGAAATAGCGAGGGAGCTCAACAAACCATGAAAGCCATAGCCATAGAATCGAATCTCGGCAATATGTCGTCGGAGGCTTTTCCTCTAGAGCCTCAAGCCATATCCGCGAAAAATCCCACAGCCTCCTTGGATTCATAGAAATTGGCTAGCACAGCAACTTTAGCAAGCATTTCAAGAGTGAGTTTTTGAGGTAATGATGGTTTTAACAATGAATAACTCTGAGCAAAATTAAGAGTGCTTCAATATCCCAACCCTCTGTTGTAATTTTAACAGAGACTTTTTGCAGATAAGTGACGCTCTCCTTCTAACCACCGGTGAGTATCTTCTTGAAGACGGATGAGGCAAGCGTTAGTTGCTTGGCGGATACTTGGATATGGAAGTTCCTCTCGGTCAAGTCTTCAACACAGCTATATTGCTGTTTGGCGTCTTGGTTACAGTTGCTATTCTCTGTAATAGGCCTCTCATAGGGACCAGTATGTGCTAAATGCAGCGATTCATCGACGAATGCAGTCCCGGTTGACGCTGGGACGGGCTCTGGGACAGCTTCATCGAGAGGCTCCTCGAGAGACTCTTCGAGAGTTTCTGGGGCAGGCTCTGCGACAGACTCTGGGACAGGCTCCGGGTCAAGTCCAAAAGTCTTCTCAAGATTTTACTTTTTCTTTTTCTTTTTCTTTGTCTTTCTGGAAATTACCATAGGCTTCGTATGTCTATCTGACGCTTCAATGTCTTCTGCTTGATTCTTGTTGTGTCCACTTGGTTAGAAGGAGCCTGGGAGAGTATGTCAACCATTATGTCGTCATCCCATTCCGCAAAAGGAGGATTCGCATTGCACAATATTACTGTATTATTACTTCGCCATCTGGATCTATAACATGTGTCAGCGGATCCATAGCGGTCACTCTGCCCAGTTCTTGATGCTATTTTGCTCACAGGGAGAACAAAATGAATGAAGGCACCTGGAAAAACAGTGCGGGAAAAATTGAGTGTTGAAAGTGGCCAAAAGCACCGAGCCTACAACTTATCAACCATGAATGCCTTTCTCTCTAAAGGCGTGGCGGCCGCTGATTTGAGTCTGGATTGGCAATACCTGCATGCCTGGTCATTGATGCGACTTCTCCACTGGGACGTGGCCTCAATGCTGCGTGAACGGGCTTTGCATTTGGTACTTGTCCAGAAATGACGCAGCTATGCTACAGCCCACTAAGGCCAAATGAAACCTATTGACCATAGGATATCACCGTGTAGCGCCTCCTCCAATTCCGTAGAAGGCCAAGAATGTGCTATTTTGGAGTTCGTCCAGTCTAGCAAGAAGCACAAAATACCCTCAATAAAAATAGGGTTGCCTTACATAATGCGCGCTAAACCGAACCTGGAAAGCCCGATTATCCGAAAGTTCACCCCTTGCAAACTATGAATACGGCCTCCCTCTAAGTGCTTCATCTATGTTAGACGATCCTCCTAAGATGATTCTGTAAAACATAGTCATAAGACTATCATGAGCGAGGCAGAGCACAACGGCGGTGCTGCACACGACCATAAAGTCATACGCTCAGCGGCTACTGCGGATAAGGACCATCATGAGTCCGAAGAGAATGTGCTGGGCGGAACAGATAGTGATGGCGACGACGATGCAAGAGTCTGGCACGATGGTGATGGCATTTGCCCCACGCTGTCAGAATTCGAAAATTGTCGTCAAAAGAGTTACGATACATGGCGTCTCGCGACAATGGAAAGCCCAAGAAGTTTGGAGACGCACCTTGACGATATCTTGAATTTGGTCAAAAATGTGCCGCACTTTTATCAATCACCAGGAGACTTGGATGTATCTGGAGGTTATAAATGTCCTTTGATTATTCGATCATCCTTCAGGATAGAGACTGCGCGAGAAGGAGCATGCGATAAGCGTTGGAAATGCATCAATTTTTCCCAATGCCTCGGATTTCCAAGCCCAAAGTTCTTCGAGAAGCGCGCGTCTTCGCAATACCCCTTGCTCTCTTTCCCGAGTCTGCAAATAGACCAAGCGAGTCTGGCCACAGTTACGTTGGCTTGGTCATACATACTTTCGTGCCGATGGGCTGAGATTTGCCAGAGTGCGGGCGAACGCACTATGCTTCTTCATTGTGATGGGCTCAATTTCTGGGAGCTCATCACGCGAAGTTGCTGGTCAGCTCGAATGCAGCGTGGTAGGGGTACCATATTCTCTCCGTGGCAACTGCAGGAGTTCGGGTCTTCTACAGATGAGAGGTAGGCGGCTTTCTCTAGTATTTCTCCGAAATGAGTACTAATATTCGAAGTCGTCAATGGGTCGAAGTTTCACCGAACTCAGCCTCTGCATTCGATACCTTGCTCCGTTTCTGCGCCTCAGAAAACTTGCTCAACGAATTTCTTACAGGATTCGCCAATGTACTCATGCTAACGTCGCGAAACACACCTCTGCCGAGAATGGAGTCGCCTGTTCCGGTTTCTCACTCCACCGCCAGACGCGCAACCATCGACACGAGATTTTGGAGACTTTTCAAGGACATTGATAAATTTATGTGCCTCAGTGCCACACAAGATGCACTTGACTCAATTTTGTGCAGTGCATTCTTCGATCCGAGCGTTCCCTGCAATCTTGTAGGCGCAGCCTCCTTAGGAATCAAACAGGCCGTTTTGGCTGGCAACAATGAGTACGATCTCTTCCTACAAGCTATTGCCATCAAAAGGCCGCATCTTTCCTTCCTTTGGAACGCTGCGGTATCTAGCGGGCAAGCCAAGTCGCTTCTGAGTATGGCTTTGATGGACTTACCGCCAGTTTGCCTCCCTGCAGCACTTTGGACAAATACATTACAATCTTTCCTCCAAATCGAGTATTGTCCGAACGTTTTTGAGGAGGGAGCAATCGCTCGGGCTAATGAATTCACAACATCATTTTTCTGCAGAGATGAGGTGCCGGTGCCGTGGACGCCTTCTCCTCCTTTTGGGACCACTACCGCGGAAAATCTAAGCTTGGAAGTGAGAGAGCACTATGGACATGGCCATAGTCTTCTGTCTTGGGAAATTGGGTCGAGTTCTACGCATACTCGCACTAGGTACAGCATGCAGCTTCCGTTAATGACTTTGTTGTCCCCTTCCGCGGCGGACTCTGGTATTACTACCAGTCAGGCTTTTCGGTTAGTTTCCCGGCCACAGTTTGTCTAATGATCCTTTTTGACGCCGGTAGCACAAAATCCGACGAAGAAATGGAAGCAGAACTACAGTCACTAAACGCAACATCCCGACTTTTCAATTGKCACCGATGTTATGATGATGGACTCTGGCTTGACGACGGAACACGAGCTATCGAATCCATTCGTAGCTTACAACGACATCCCTGGATCGTTGACCCTTTCGATGTTGACAATGAGCCGGATTCATCGCGAGATTCCACTCAGTCTAAGACACACGATAGTACGATCCTACGGTGGATGGAGCGGATTGAGACAGTCCCAAAGTCTTGATCGCTGCTCCCATGGCAGGGCAAGCTCTAGTTATAGGAAAACTCCCTAGATGACGCAACTTCTACTTCGCATGGGGAAGAGCTTGCAAGCAGCGCCAAAGTGTGTAGCACTGAACGGGAAGTACACGGACTTACTATTGGGGAGCCGATTGCGGCAGCTGTACGGTTCGGGTCAAAAGGGACGCATATTGAGGTGAAATGTCAAACAATGCTGAATTAGTGCTCTGCGCAGTATGGTCCGTGACATATTCCACGCGTAATTTGAGCGTGGACACAAGGCGCTAGGGCGATCTAATATGCTAACTTAACTAGAAATAGGCCATGACTGATACTTACTTCCAAGAGCCTTCTCTACGATAGCGAGAGTTACGGCAAGACCGACGGGAGCAACTCTCGTGGACACTGTACTTACTACGGAGGGATAAACCTAATAGGAAGGCGCTACGACAACTTTTATATAGACGCAGTTTGTAGGCATGATAACGAAAAAATGAGTACTGGGAATGCCGCCCCAATCTTCCAGCGTGAAACGTAAGCAGAAATGTATATCATTCGGCCAAGATCAAGACAAGCTACATGAGTTGAAAGCTGAGGTACGCAACGCCAAAGCAATAGAAGACATGATCTTGGATGAACAAAAGGGGAAATACCGTGATCTTCTAGACTAGTGAGAGCTGATACCCTGGCATGAGTAACAGCCGACCAGCTACTGGCTGCTGCTCGGAATCACAGGATCACTCACTACTGAACTGTTCTCCGCTGGAAGTATCACCACCAGCGTATCCAGTATTCCTGTAGTCCTCCTTTTGAGCACGAGTAACATCCCGTTGCCTTCCAAAGAAATCCAGACCTTCGACTCCTGGATGGGCTTTGCACCCATAGCACATTCGATAAGTCCAATTGGTCGTCTTATTGAAACAGCCGTTGGTAATCTGGCATCGCTTAAAGATGTTGGAGCATCGATGATAAGTGCATTTCGCCGTTCTGTGTTCATTGTTCGGATGGAGACAGACTTCGCAAGGTCCTATAAGCGCGGAACTGGCGGACATTTTGCTCCTCTGGTGAAGCTAAGTTGCAATTGTTGAATTCAAGAGAGTGAGTAGAGAGAACTCCTGAAAGAACTCCTGAAAATACTAACAGTTAGGGAAGACCTGGGTATAGGAGGCCAGCCCTCTGGGGACTCGTACTTGAAATTTGGACTTGCAATGTGAGTGCACTCAATCAGTGGCCTGAACTAAGCTAGCTCTAAGGATTTCTGCTAAGTGTACAATAAAGCGGATTATTACTTTTTATAGGTGGCCTTCTTCCCCTTTTATAGAATTTCTGTGTATGCAGTGGTGATCTAACTTATAACTAAGGTTACCTCACCTCACCTCACCTTATCTCACCTCACCTCACCTCACCTTACCTTACTGCACTGCACTGCACCGCACCACACTGCACCTGTAACCCATTACTCTGCTTAATCTATAACACTAATACAAAACTGACAAGTCATGCACTCTTCAAAGCTCTGTTTCTGAGTTTCAAAATCTAAATAATATCACCTGGACTTTGGCAGTTGCTGGTAAGGTGTACACTAAGCTAGAAGCCTGATTCTTAGCAACACTAGTAAGTTAGCTACATTTGTGGTCTATGTTCACATCTGATAGGTCACATTAATTATCACCTCTTGGATAGAGTTATAATAACATATTCCATGACAGCATAGGTATGTCTCCTAATGACCTATATTTATCCCAGCTTTCTTCTATTTTAGTTGCACAAAGGCTGTAATAAATAGTGGAAAGTTGCTTTCAGACATGAAAGAAAGTCGATCAAGTGACCGCCTTTGTTAGGCGGGCACCTTGTTTGCATTGTTTACACTGTTTGACTGCATACTTAGGAAATGGCCCAAGAGGGGCAAACTGAGGGGCAAGACCATTTTTCCTGCACTGCGGAACCCCCTGATCTGAGCAAGATTTCTGCTGGGCAGTGATGATTAATCCTTCCTAATCCTGCTTACACAGATTCCTTCTATCACTGGATTTCGTCTTGAATCAAAACAATTAGTTCACAACTAGGACTTTTCTATTCAGGACCTTCTGCTTTGATTTCCTCTTCCCTTCACCCCGGCTAGCCTTTCTCCCATCTTTTAGCAGAGCAGCTACTGGAGCGCATCCTGCCTGTTCTCCTAGCAACCACTCTCAACTGGAACTTATCTGCCAGTTGCCGCGCACAGATTGCCTTCCACTTCATAGGTAAGCAGTAAGCTCGCACCTGGCACTCCATTTCAGTATGCTTTCCACTGATTTCCACATCACAGAGTATAGCCACGTCCGAGCGTCGGTCATACGGTACCAGCGAACTGGTGCTAATTCAGAAATATTTTAGATGGAGAGGCAACTGGCCCGGAATGAACACGAGAAGCAAATGCTGCGGGAGCATGCGATGAGTCTGGTACAAACAATCGCTCCTGTCGTGACAGTTGGACCTTGCTAATTCGTTCAGATATCGGGGAAAGGAAACTTACAGCTTGCGCGAGACGAAACAACGGGCGAAAACGATTTCAAATATGAACAGTGGCCTAAAGTTTGCGGGGTCGTTGTTGACAAGGGAAGTGGACACGGATACGTACAAATATCTCCTGTTGGTGGTAAAGACACGGAGATTACAAAAATTCATACTGGGAGGCAGGGCGATAGGGGCTATGTCTTTGCCAACATTTCAACTGGTCAATCATGTATGTTGTATGGTCGACCAACCGTCCTCTTTGTCCACCCTCAAACCTAAATTTGTTCCGAGAATATCCTGTCTCGTGTCATTTCCATTGCAAACATAATAAGATCCTGGCACATCGCTCGCGATATCTCGATCGCTGGCAGTTCGTCCCCGTTTACTGGAACCCGGATGGTCAATGACCTCTCTTCCCCAGCATACGTTTGGAGAAAACTTATGAGGTCGATGGCCTCTAAACTGGTGCGATATGACGACACTCGGAATGGTCAACAGCGGTTCATTGAAAGGCAATGGGAGAATATTTTGCTTACTCCCTGTTGGCAATATATCTGAATGTCTCTGAAGGATCTCTGTCAACCCCTTGGGATGATTCACGTTATTCCACCATTCGAGGAGCACCTTGAGATAATCCTCAGACTTCAGGGCAGCAAGATTCGTTGGGTAGGCAGCCAAAGCGCAAAGAACCAAAAGCTCTCGACTCGCAATCCATATGGCGCTGAGAATTTTCTGTGCCTTCTTCTTTCTATTGTTCCTACTTATGGTACTGCTGTCTATAGCAATGAGATTGGAGCTCCTTTTGATATTATCCAACTGCTTCGTCCCTAGGGGGAAGTAAACATCGGAAAATCCTTCATACTGAGACTTGACGAGTTCGAGAAGCCTTGCACTGTCCAAGATGTCAGAAGACGACATAGGCAGTATACAATACCGGTGAGCAATGTGAGATAGTAAAAATGTTTATGGCATGGACTGGGGGCAGTTCCAGTTGAGAATGAAGTGATGTGAAATGAGGTGAGGTGAGGTGAGGTGAGGTGAAATAGATTGATGATATGTAGGACATAATGTCTCTGGCTTCTACCCTAGTATGACAAATAGTAACACATCAAAAAACCCCTCCCACAGTTTCCCCCACAAACAACAGCCCCAACCCCCTGCGGCCCCCCAAGGCCCTGAGCGCGCCACTATTTGATCTGTAGGAACTGGACCATTCAGCTCTCAGGGAATCTCTTGCTAGGAGGGGATTGATAGGATCAATGTACTAATCAGAATCTTGGGTGTGGGACAGGTGGGTCAGGCCCACTGTACTACTTAATAGTACAAGATGTCATTCATTATATCGCTTTGTGGCATTAGTAAATACAATGTCGCGCTCGGTTTGAAGATCTTTCGGGGGACTCCTGGCGAATTGGCGCGGATTATGAGCTTCGAGCTTCATCTTGCATATGCAGAACCGGATCATGATGGATACGAAAGTATGGAGCGGGTTTGCCGGGTCACAATACCGCAAGTACTTTTGTTCTAAATGATCCTCAATTTGGCTGATGATATTGTCCTTATTGGCGGGGGCCACATTGGACCCCAGTAGTACTTCCCAGCGCATGTCGGCAGCAGACGATGTCGAGAAGTCATGCAAGAAGCCCATGATCTCGTGTCTGATCAGGCAAAGTGAGATAGGGGTAATGCCGTTGCGTTCAGGCGGCAGGTCAGTCATGTCTGGATGGAGATCCTCGTCATCAACATTGAGTGGCGTTTTGGTGTCCGCGCAGGAAATATCCATTGACGGTCTGGTCCCCAGCACATCAGCTATGCGAAAGTCCACATGGACCAAGTACCACCATAGCCGTCTTCGCATTTCTGCGTCGAATGGCGAGAGCCCGAGAAATGAGCCGTCACGGTGGAGTCCCATTTTGCGTGCCAGCCGGATGGCGACGCCGGACAAGACAAATAAGGTGTCGCATGAGTAACTCTTTCGGACGCACATCTTCATCCGTCAGACTCGCCGTGAACCAGGGCTGGATAGCTGTCCCTTACCATGAACAATACATATGCCTGAAGAGTCATCGGGTTGGAAGTCGACAGGAATCTGGCATTGACCAAAGCTTGCCGAGTGGCGAGTCTATAGCGGGAATACAAAACCGATTCCGAGAGTCCAAAGAGATCCTGGCACTCGTCTTCGTTGAGAGTACTAACGACCGCGAGGTAGAAAGCGAACATCAGAGCCTCTAGGCTTTTGGATCGCTCCGCTGGATGGCGCAGTCCATTTGCTAACGCAGTCGAGAATGTCGGAAGATGCAGGATTTTAACCAGAGGGTCAACCCGATCGGCGTATATATCCCTTAGCTTTGGCAGTATCTGCACAGACGGGTGGAGGCCTGCGAGATTTTCGAATTTCTCATTCTGTCCGAAGAACAACCCATTTTCGTCGGAAAACGATTCATCCACAGGTCCACCGACCTCTGGATGTTGAAACTAAACGACATTAGACAAGACTTCGAGGTTGGCAGGAGGAAATCGAGGACTGTGCTTACTTCGCCGCCGAAAATAGACCAAGGTGCACTACAGGAGGTCAGATAATAGGAACGCTGGCAGAAGGGAATAGACGCGACACACCTGTCAAAATATCTGGATACGCCTTCTCGGATGATGAGTTTTGGCTTCGTCTCCTCGAGGGTGGTGTCGGCGGCATTAGCATCGTCCATGCACGCATCACTTTCGGAGTCGGAGTCATCGAGATCGTCGGATGGCTCCGATTTGATGCCGTGTAAACTCAACAGTTTCTCGTATCGTTCCAGTTTGGCGTGCAGACCCTCTCGGGGAGGCTTGGTTCTTTTACGTTTCCCGCGCACCGGGGGAATGAAGCTGCATTGCTTGTCGGCCTTGACGCAGTTGCAACACGGAGCACGCCGGTCGCATTTGACCTTTCGCTCCCGACAGGCCAAGCAAGAGTAGCTTTTGAAATCGCTGCCGTCTGTAGACCGAGTCATTGTAGCATGTTATGCGTGGGATAAGGTATGTGTCGGGGTGAGATGAAAAGAAGAGTAGAAAGAGCGGTCCGGGTTCGGAAACATAAAATAATTTCTGAGCCCCGAGCGGCGAGTGTATATCTCCCTATATACTTCTATCACGACTTCAATATGCATCCTTAGATTTTTCAAGTTGTGTCCTCAGTTGAAGTAACGCCCATTAGTCCCCTCTTCAATTGTTCGCCACTGCTTAATATCAAATACGACGATGTCTCAAGAGAAGCCCATCGACACAGCCGAAGATGACAAGGACAAGGATGACATTGTCTATCCCACTGGCCTCAAGCTCTTTCTGCTGATAATTTCGATTCTTATTGGCATGTTCCTGGCTTCCTGGTGTGCTGAATCAAACCCGGTCCAGATCGACTCTCTATACTGACCACTGCAGGACCGGCTCATCATCTCGACCGCGATTCCCCAGATCACCGACGAGTTCCATTCAGCTGGAGATATTGGATGGTATGGCACGGCGTACCTGCTCACCAACTGTGCTTTTCAGCTGCTGCTCGGGAAGATATACACGATTTTCAGCATCAAGGCCACCTTCATGACGTCCATTGTCCTGTTCGAGGTCGGTTCGGCCCTCTGCGGCGCGGCTCCAAACTCGATCGGGTTCATTCTCGGCAGAGCCATCGCCGGCCTGGGTTCTGGAGGCATTTCCTCGGGTGCCATGACTATCATCATGTTTGCGCTTCCACTGCACAAGCGGCCCAAATATCAGGGGCTCTTTGGGGCTGTGTTTGGGGTTGCTTCGGTGGCTGGCCCGCTGGTTGGCGGCGCCTTCACCACCAACGTCACCTGGAGATGGCGCTTTTATATCAAGCTTCCCCTAGGAGCAGTGGTAATTGTGGTCATCCTTCTTTTTCTCGATATTCCCGACCGTCCGAGCACCCAGAAGCCGCTGAAGGAGAAGCTGCGTCAGCTGAACGGTCTGGGAATACTTGCCATCATTCCTGGGATCGTTTGTCTCTGCTTGGCTCTGCAGTGGGGTGGTACCAAGTACGCGGTAAGTCTTCTCATCACTGCCTTTGTTGGCCAGTGGTATTGACCGCGTCTAGTGGAGCGAGGGTCGGATCGTCGCTCTGCTGGTGTTGGCCGTTGTGCTTTTGATCGCGTTCGTCTTGATCCAGGTGTGGAAGCCAGAGCAGGCGACGCTGCCACCACGCATCTTCCTGCAACGGAGCATCGCCTCCGGTTTCTGGGCGGCCTGCTGTCTCGGCGCACATACCATCTTGTTCGGTGAGTCGGCTGGAATTTCAAACTACACTAGTGATCCGCTGGCTAATGGATCACAGTCTGCTATCTTCCCATCTGGTTCCAGGTGATTGACGGCGTCTCGGCCGTCGAGAGTGGCATCCGCCTCCTTCCTATGCTCCTCCCGGTGGTTGTAGCGTCCATTCTCACCGGCCAGCTAGTCTCCCGCATCGGCTACTACACGCCCTTTCTGATGCTAGGGGTCTTCCTCTCCTCCATCGGCGCCGGACTACTCACCACTCTCGGGGTCCACACACCAAAGAGCAAGTGGATCGGCTTTCAGGTGCTATACGGCTTCGGCCTCGGCACCTGCAACCAGATACCGAACATGGCGGCGCAGACAGTACTGCCCCGCGAGCAGGTGGCCATCGGCGCCTCGCTCATGTTCTTTGCTCAACAACTCTTTGGCGCTGTCTTTACGTCGGTTGGCCAGAACGTGCTCAGCAACCAGCTGGCCAAGCGTCTGGCGATCAGTCCGCAAATGGTGCAGAATTCAGGTGCCACCCAGCTTCTCGACCACGTTCCTGTCGAGGACCGCGCTGCTTCGCTGGTGGCTTATAACGACTCACTGCAGGTGTGCTTCCAGGTTGGACTCGTCATGGCCTGTCTTGCCACCGTGGGTGCAGTGACCATGGAATGGCGCACTGTCAAGAAGAAACAGTTGCCTTTGAAGTCTGAGACCGAGGCTGGACAGGCTGAAGAGGGCAGAAAACCGGGGGACGCACAGGATAACCAGTCGAAGATGGACTACGAGCCGGAGGAGAAAAATTAAAGGAGTGATATAATTTAGATACTTCGTCAAATGTGTAGAAAGAAGTGTACGATAGTGAATAGAGGCACATCCAGCAAATGAGGATATCATGTCCGAATTGTGGAGCACACCCGCAAATCCCCGCCGCAAGACCAATAGAGTCATCGTCCCCCAGCCACGCGTCGTTTAGCCTCCAGGCACTAGGGCTGCTGTACCCAATAAGATGATGCATTGTTCACATGTTGACGGGCGAGTGGATGCCGGATGATCAGATCAGATCAGCAGCCAAGATCAACCCCACGTCCGAGGTGAGGATGATCTTCCAGGGCAACAGCGAGTCATTCTCAAGACTCTCATCAACATCCTCACAAAGGGTTACTGAACCACCGCCAAAAATGCAACCCAAAGCAGGTGAAGATGCACATGCATCATTCCCAGCAGATAAACACCCCTCGGACGAGACGGAGCATCTGCTACCGCATGATCCACCCGAGGAGATAAATATCTGGGCGTCGCACAGACAGTCCCGTTCCTGGTGGACCATCATCGCCATCTCGCTGCTGCTGTTTACTATGACCGTCCTGTCGCTGGCTGTTTTCTTCGCGCTGGGCTTTGGCGCAGGGGCTGCGCCGCATGTGCCCCAGAGCAGACTCTCCAGTCCGATCAAGAACGTCGTGGTTCTGGTGCAGGAGAACCTGTCGTTCGACAACTACGCCGGCGGACTCACATACAACCCCAGTATTGACGGTCTTGTGACCCGCGAGTACTGCAACCCGGCCAATGTATCCGATCCCCACTCACCGATGGTGTGCGCAAAGCCCACGGCGAAGAATGTCGCCCCGGATGATCCCGATCACAGTATGACCGGTGGGAACCAGCAAGTGTACAGCACGTACCATCCGGACTACGACCTCAATTCAGCCAACATGCAAGGCTTCGTCGCCGAGCAGATCGCCTCGTACGGCATCGAAGGCGACCTCTCTCGCGCCGGCGAGGTCATCAACTACTACACCCCCGAGCACGTCCCCGTCTTCAACGCCATGGCCGAGAACTTTGTGCTCTTCGACCGCTGGTTCGCCGCTGTGCCCGGCCCAACCAACCCCAACCGCGCCTATCTGACGTCCGGCACGTCGCACGGCCACGGCACCAACGACGCCGACTTCGACAGGTCGGCCCTGCCCCAGCGCTCCATCTTCGAGCAGCTCTCCGCCAACAACATCAGCTGGATCAACTACTCCAACACGACCGGCTTTCTCCCGGACGCGCTCTTCTACCGCTGGACCGCCATGTCAGGACTCGGCGAGACCAACGTCCGCCCCATCGACCAGTTCTACCGCGACGCAAAAGCCGGCACCCTGCCCCAGTTCACCTGGATCAACCCGGAATGCTGCTCGTACATGTCCTTCCATCCCCCGTCACCCATCAATATGGGCGAGGGCTGGATCAAGAGCGTCTACGAGGCGCTCCGCTCGTCCCCGCAGTGGCACGAGACCCTCTTCATCCTCACCTTTGACGAGCACGGCGGGTTCGCGGACCATGTCCCTCCCCCGGAAAACGTGCCTGCAGGTGATGATCTGACCTACACCGAGACAGCGCCGGACGGCAAGGCCTCCACGTTTGCGTTTGATCGGTTGGGGATCCGGGTGCCGACGGTGCTGATGTCCCCGTGGGTGGGCAAGGGTGTGGTGCAGAACAAGCCCACGGACCAGGCGGGCGAGTTCACGCATACGTCTATCCTGAAGTTTGTGGCTGATCTGTGGGGGTTGGAGTACTTGTCGCCGCGTGTGGCCTGGTCTGCTAGTTTTGCGCATTTGATTACGGATACGTATCGTGAGGATACACCGGAGATGTTACCTGAGCCGGCGGATTTCTAGACAGTCAGATTTGATAGATACATTTCAGTCTTGCAAACATTTACCATTTTACAAAGACCTAAATAAATCCCGCCTCACAACGAAGTATCAATGTAGTGGAGCATATATATGTTGTCAGGCCCCACCATGGCATCGTAAGGCCGACAGAGCCAACTGTCAGTGAGAGGCAGCAGTGGTGCAGGTCTGCAGGCTGTGTCTTGTTGCAATGGTCAACGCTGGCTAAATAAGAGCTCTAAGTATCCATATGACCGGATTGACTGGGTGACTGTCTAAGGGGGGGTGCCAGATCATGCTGTTGTCTTTCGAGGGTTGCCTTCGGCAGTATACTAAGGAACCTCTTGCTAGCGATTGAACTGCAACGCTCTACATCCATGAGGGACAGGGGATTGCACAGGTGTCCTGCGAGGCTGCACAACAACAGCAAACGAGAGTGACAGGTGCAAGAAACGTATTCTTACGACCTGTGTCACGGCAATATTGAGCCTCTGGACATCGGAGGAAAAGTGCTTATCAACGTTATCCGGGTGTTCGGACGGAGGGCTTATAACCTGGTAGGAGTGAGCACAAGCATTCCAGGCGCTCATCCCTCGCTCGCTTGGAATGTCACCGAACTGAACATGTTCGAACGAGCTGGTAAGACTAGTACCTAGTACATTTGTACTTGGGTCGAAAATAGAACGAGCTTATTGATATCTGTTTTTGGCAGTTGTAGGCCGTAGTCTATTGACTCGGGTCAAACTGGTAAAGACGTTTAGATATATGGAACCCAGACTTACTATCTATGCATCAATCAGAAGGCATGTCACTCAGAGTTACCTATGAGTAATGAGCACCGGAGAAGAAAACCATTACCTAATGAGCATGACAAGCACACGCGTTGTGATCCTGCTGTCCAGTGTCCAGCAGGTCGATCCTCGACTCCTTGTTCGGGCAAGAGGATCAAGCGCCTTTCCGATTCCCCACATATCTCAGAGCTTATACTGCTGAAGAATGCAGAGCTGGCAACTAGCCGAGCGTCAGAGTTATTTTCAGAGCCCCGAGCTCCAAGCTTCCTACGCCGAATGAACCTTTCCTACAGGTTGGGGCAAGTGGAACGGAGATATGACGAAAGATCATTCCTTGTTCTTTGGCAATGACTACTTGGCTTTGAAGCGGAAATAGAACGTATCTACGGAGTACTGCAAGCTGTATCATATTCATAGGCAAGTTTCATGGTTCGGCTGTTTCATATCAATGACTGACCTGGAGCTTCCAATTGCTCCGATCAGACGTCATGCAGCGTGTATCAGGTTGTCCACATCGTCTGGCCGCGTATACCGTCTACATGCTAATATTGACTCCGGTAGAATGCATAGAAGCCTCGATCCAGGCACAGCGACCTGAGTAGCAGTCAGCATAGGCCGAGCTTCCACGAACCCACTTGGCAAATGTTCACAGCAAGCAGAATAGTCTGGCAGGGACTTCCAACACTGAAACCCAGCCCAAGGTCAAGAAGAGGGGAGCTCCGCATCATCCCAAACGGGCTAGGTATACATACCAAAGGCACGGCGCTTGACCTGATCGACACGGATCTGTCCTTGTTTCATTCCCTCGGGGACATCCTACATACCAGCATTATCATAAAGCTTCTCCGGGAGTGACAACGCCAGAAGGGATGATAGCAGGTTCTATTTTCTCCGTCTTTGCACTACTCACGTTTCCTTGCCCTGGCTTCCACGGTCATGGACACGCCTCACCTGATGTTATACGGACCCTTGTGGATCCCAACGCAGAGTATTTCATCATCCTGCCTCATCGTTTGACACGAGACGGTTTATTATTTCAAGGTTGGGATTGTTTCCTGCTTGCTCGTTTCCATGCACTATGATGGCCGCCAACGAGCTCGAATCAGTACCCCCAGCGCTCTTCAAAGAGACCTTCTCGCACATACCGACCTCGTCTGACGACTACTCGGACGACATCGATGAGTTGGACAACTCGCGGCTACCGCCAGTTGACGGAGGATACCAAGCATGGCTGTTTCTGGCAGCTTGTTTCATGGTGGAAGGTATAGTATGGGGTGAGTCGTCTTCACATCGTCCAGATGAAGCAGCAGAAGTTGACGGATGAGAGGATTCGCACAATCCTTCGGGGTCTTTGAGAACTATTATCGAACTCATGAGCCTTTCTCGGATTCGACTGAGATTGCGTCCATTGGGACCTGCGCAATGGTCAGATATCCTTCATGTATACAGACCGAGACTGACATGGAATATTGTAGGGGCTGGCTTACCTGCCCACACCCATTGTTATCGCCATCATGTTTGCATTCCCCCGGGCTCGACGCTGGTTTTCGACCGCTGGATTCGTCATCATGTGTCTAGCGCTGGGCCTGAGTTCGTTCTCGAAAAACGTCACCCACTTGATCATGTCGCAGGGAGTGGCATACGGGATTGGGGGATGTCTAGCCTACACCCCGTCCATCCTCTTCCTATCCGACTGGTTCGTCGAGAAGAAAGGCCTCGCATTCGGCATCGTCTGGGTATGCTCCCTCTTCGTCCAAACAGCAACACTCCCAACTAAATCTAGTACAGAGCGGCTCCGGCCTCACAGGCATCCTCTTCCCGCTCATGCTCCAAACCCTCCTCAACCGCTACGGCTGGCAAACCACCCTCCGCGCCTGCTCCATCGCACTCTTCCTCCTCGCCGCCCCCTTCATGATCTTCCACAAGCCCCGCATCCCCATCCGCCACTCCCACCTCCGCCAGCTCAGCCTCCGCTTCCTCTGGGACAAAGTCTACCTGATCTACCAGCTCGGCAACACAATGCAAGCCATCGGCTTCTGGATCCCCTCCATCTTTCTGACCTCCTACGCCCGCACCCTCGGCGCAAGCGACTTCCTCGCCTCCCTCACCGTCACCCTCTTCAACCTCATGACCGTCTTCGGCTGCATCTTCACCGGCTACTTGGCCGACCGCCACCACGTCACGAAATGCATCCTCCTTTCCTCGGCGGGGGCTGTCGCGTCCGTCTTTCTGCTTTGGGGCCTAGCCACGCACATGGCGACGCTGTACATCTTCTGCATTGTGTATGGGTTCTTTGCGGGGGGGTACTCGTCCTCCTGGTCGGCGCTGTCGCATGAGGTGCAGAAGAGTGAGCGCTCGGCGCATGTGAGCATGGTGTTTGCGTTTCTGGAGACGGGCCGCGGCGTCGGGAATGTGGTTAGTGGGCCGTTGAGCGAGGCGCTGCTGAGGGTGGGTGGGTGGAAGGCGGAGGCGTTTGGGGCGTATGGGACTGAGTATGGGGTGTTGGTGGTGCTGACCGGGGTGACGGCATTTTTAGGTGGGTTTGCGTCCATGGCGAGGATGTTTCGGTGGATTTGATCTTGGCAGATGTATTGTACTATATACTAAAAGATGGATGCGTTTGTACGGAGTAGTCGGGTGGTATTGGATAGAAGCATATAGTATGGAACAGTTAATGTCATTCAATCTATATATATATATCTATGTCATGTCTATTTATATTTTGTACAAGTGACTATTGCTAGCCAATAAACCGACCCTTGGCCCTCTCAAACCACCCCTTGTCCGGAGCAGAGGTCTCCCACGAGGTACTCTTCGTCTCGACGCGTCCGGTATCCAGATCCGCCTCGAGGGGATCCACAAGCGTCGTCCGGAAGACGATCTTATGGCCCAGATACAGCACGACAAACAGAATCGGACAGACATACGCGACGAAGAAACTCGAGACATCAAACGTCGGAATCCACGCGGTGAACCCCTGCGTGAAGATAATCAGCACGTTGAAGAAAAGCCCGTAGTAGGCCAGCCACGGCTGCCAGATGGCCTTGTACGGCAGGGTATCGCGGGAGATATTGCGCGCGGCCAGCACGCGCATAAACGCAATGTGGCAGGCGTTGATGGATGCCCAGCAGATGAAGCCGGCCACGCCGGAGATGTTGACCAGCCAGTTGAAGACCTTGCCGCCGGACTCGGAGAGGTTCAGGAAGCCGAGGAGCCCGAAGGCGGCGGTGAAGGCCACGCTGATGTAGGGCACGCCGCGTTGGGTGACCTTGGCGAACCATTGGGGTGCGAAGCCCTCGCGCGCGAGACCGAGGAGCACGCGGCTACCGCTGTAGACGTTGGAGTTGGCGGCGGAGAGGACGACGGTCAGGAGCACGGCGTTGATCAGGCCGGGGAGAACCTGGACGCCGGCGAGATTGGCGGCGATGACCATGGGGGAGGCGGAGGCGTTGGAGGTGGCAGTGACCAGGTTGGGGTTGTCGTAGGGGACCAGCAGACCGATGAAAAAGATCGTTAGGACAAAGAAGATGAGAATGCGGAAGAAGGTCTTGCGGATGGCGGAGGGGACCGTCTTCTCGGGGTTCTCGGTCTCTCCGGCAGCGACACCCACGAGCTCGGTGCCTTGGTAGGAGAACCCGGCCTGAATCAGGACGGCCCAGAATCCGACGAATTTGGCAGTATTGACATTCGATTCGATGAGGTATGGTGCGAACGCGCCGGGTTCCTTCCAGGTGTGAAACCCCAGGTAGCCCTGCTTGCCTACGCCGGCATCAATGCAGATGGCGAAGATCATGAAACCCAGCACGGTAAGCACCTTGATGGCCGAGAACCAGAACTCGAGCTCTCCGTAGAAGCCGACAGGAAGAAAATTGAGCAGTGTGATGAACACCCAGAACACCCCGATGAAGATGCCAATCGACAAGTCCTCATTCCAGTATTGGACGATCATTCCGGTGGCCGTCAATTCCACCGCGTATGTCGAAGCCCAGTTGAACCAGTAGACCCATCCCATGGCAAATCCCAGACTGGGGTCAACCAGTCGTGCTGCATACGAGGTGAAGGCGCCGGCGGTGGGGATATACGTCGCGACTTCTCCGAGCGAGGTCATCACCGAGTATACGATCGTCCCGACAAAGATGTAGGCGATCAGAGCCCCGACTGGACCAGCGTGCGCAATGGCCGTTCCACTGCTGATAAACAGACCGGTTCCAATTGTTCCTCCTGAGCGCTGTTAGATTTTCTTTCTCGCAGAGGATCAGATATCAGATACTGACCGATGGCAATCATCTGCAAATGTCTATCCTTCAACTGCCGCTTGAGATCGGGCGTCTCCGACTCCTGTACCTCCTCATTGCTCTCCTCATCGCTGTGGTGGTGGTCGCCTCGCAGCGAGTTTACCTTATTCGAGCGAAAACGGACCTTGTCTGCCAACCGGCGGCGTTTTTCAGCGCTGGACACCTCCAGACCCTTGGCATCAGGGGTCATTTCGTCTTGAACAGCCATGATGCCAGTCAGGTAGCAAGTGCAGTTAGACAGCCGTCAAGGTCGCAGTGAGAAAATGCGCTCGAATGGCAAATGAAAATTTCTGCCCCTCAGTTGTGTCTTTTTTCCTGGACCGAGCCTAGCCGGTGGAGATGCAACTGTCAGAAATTGACGGGTGCACCCCGGAAGAGGCAAACTATTATGTAAAAGAGACAGCAAAAGAGTGGATCGGTTCAAGTTAACACCACCTTAGTGAACACGAGTGCTTGAGTTTCTTAGCCCTACAGATTCATGACATTTTCTATGTAATCTGTCAGCGTAGAGGAGAGGTTCCTGAATGGAGATCGGTGACCGTTTTCGGTGGATGGATCATCAAGCATTGCCAAGGAACAACATCCTACGAGTACTATCTGGTCTTCATGGACAAGGAACCAGTAGTCATTAACTTTCGATCATTTCTCCAGACAAACATTATGCAACGTTTCCACCTAGATCGTGGTATGACTCGCATCCTGATTTTGCAGAATTTTTCCTTGCTGCTTGCTTTGTGATGATACACAATATTTTCCGCTCTGTCCCGACCAGGACTGGTAGCTCAGTGGTAGAGCGTGAGATTGCAAATCTTAAGGTCGCGTGTTCGATCCACGCTTAGTCCTGTTTTTTTTTTTTTTTCCCTTCCCCTGTACGACTCAGCTCACTTTCCCCTTATTTTTTGTATGAAATAAATACTCATCAAAAATCCAAATTCTCTTTTATACATCCCTACAGCTCTGACGACGGACAGTTGCAACATAAATGTAACCAGTTAATTAGATCTACTACGATACCTGCCAAATATATACCGGAATTGATCAAAGGCTATATTACCAAGTCTCCTTGATCAATGTGGCCATACTCGGTATGGCAGAGATCCGATCACATGATCTCGCTCAGTAGAATAGCTCCTGCCACTGTATAATAGTAAACATAGATTTTACATACATAATGAATTAATAAAATATCTTTATATTCTGAACCTCTCTCTGCTCATTCTATAGGTTATAAGCCCAGAGCCTCTTAGAGAGCTCTAGGGAATCATTCCTAAGTTCTTTCCTTAAGCTATTTTACTACTTTTTACTTTCAAAAGCCTCTTTTGGTGAATATTCTGCCTAAAATATTTATCTAGGCTGGATATTCTGCCTAAGATAGAAACTGTCCTTTTATTACCTTAATTAACAGGGCCCTGCAAGGGTTCTTATATTTAAGAATCCTTATAGGTGTAGAAGCCTGGTAGTTATCCTTAGATATGTCTAAAACCTTATTCCCTTAAGGGATGTGTTTAAAACCTTATTCTTTTATTTAAACCTTTCTTTAAGATGCCTTAAGTAGATCTTAATAAGCTACCATTACTTATGGGTGTAGATTCCTACTAAATATAGTCTAAAGCTATAAAGACTTACCTGTATAGCTAGGGGGTCTAGTGGACTATTAATAGAACTTATAAGAAGCTAGAGCTGTAAGAAGTAGGCTGTTAGACTAGATTATCTAATAATACTAAGCTTTCTAAGTAGTAAGAGAGAATAGAAAAGGTAATTTAGGATTAGGAGGAGATAGATAATAAAGCTTATAGAGTTATATATTCTACCCTATCTTATACTATTAGATATAAAGTAATTAATTTGGAATTATCTAAAGCTATTTAGGACTATCTTAATAAGAAATATAATATAATAGTAGATGTCTAGTCCTTTAAGGGGCTGCAGATAGCCATTAATATAGTATATAATAGCTATAATAGAATCTAAGATTATATATTAAAGCTATCTCTTATACTTAATAAATTTAATTACAGCCTTAAGGAAGGTAAGTAGCTTCCTAAATCTATTAAGATCTAATTCTTACTCTATAATCTTAGTAAGATATGGGAGATATTCCTTATATCTTATCTTAATAATTACTATAATAAGAAAACTACTATATTTAATGGTATTATGCAGATCCTAATCTAAGAGGAGATATATATAAAGTTTAATATATTATCTATAAATATTATGAAAGTATAGAAAGGGAAGAAGCTAGCTTAGAAGAGTAGTAATTCTAAGAATAAATTAAACTAATTAAATTAATTAAATTAGTCTAATTCTAATTCTAATGACTAGAAAGATTCCAACAGCAAGGTTCCCTGGGAAACTAGGAAGAACTAGAAGTATTATTATTATAGTAAAATAGGCTATAAGCAGCCTAACTACTAGGAGTTAAATCTAGATAAGAAGCCTGACAGGAAGAATTTATCTAATTAATTAAATTAAACTAATTATTATAATCATGCTTATATAATAGGTACTGATAATGATATACTAAATAGCTAATAATTAACTACCTTAATGCTTAAAGAAATAATGCTTACCTTCTATACTATTAATAATGAAGATAACAGAGTCCTTACCCCTACTAATAATAATTTAATTAATGATGATGGCATCCTTACCTCCTAATTAGTTAAATAAGATATTAAAGACATACAGATAGCAATTATTACTATTAATCTAGCTCTGTGCCTGCATGCCAGCACTAGTAATTAGATAATTAACTCTAGAGCTACTAAACACTTTATTATAACACCTGCAAACTTTATAGATAGCTTAAGGAAGCTATGTAAATAGGGTATTAAGATAGTAATAAGGTAAATTATATATTCTGATTTAATTAGGGATATTATCTTATATCTTACACATCCAGGTAGATATACTAGATATATTATTATTACTAATATTCTCTATATCCCTAAGGTGGTAGTTAACCTTTTAGGCACTATTAGATTAGGCTATAAGGGTCTAAGAGTTAATCTTCTACTAGATAGTATTATTATCACTTACTTATTAGATAAAATAATTATTAGATATAGAGATATTATCTAGAATACCTACATTCTTCACCTTATAGGAAGTAACACTGCTATTAAGGCTAATAAGCTAGTTAAACTAATTAAGCTAGATATATTATTTAAGATATAGCTAATAGCATTCCCTTACTACCCTAAGAGAGGTGATAATTAACTATTCTCTTAGTAAGATCATATGCTGTAAGAAGATTGCAAGTGAGCTAAGTAAGAATTAGTAAAATCTTATTCTAATATTAAAACTTATATCTAGACTAGATAAGAGGTCCTAAGTAAGCAATATATGCTTATTTTAGATCTACTATATAATAATTATGCTGGTGTTCACACATTAAAGAAAGATAAGGTTAATTTAATAACTTAGTACTATTATTTTATGTATTTATTGATTCCTAATGTTATTTGTGTGTCTAAAATGGTTAACAGAATAGATATTAAGGGACTATTAATTCCCAAGCATGCCTATAAATCTTATATAGTAGCTAATGTAATGGTCTATAAGGGGTATATTACTATATCTCCTGTTAAGTAATATAGGGAATGTATCTTTATTAATATAGGTAGTAGCTATAATAATATGCTAGATAACTACATCACTAGAGCTTACTACTAGATGATTATTATAGATTAGTTTAATAGCTAGGTTATTATCTAATTACTTAAATATAGATATTAAGTGATGCTACTTATTAAGCTCTTTATTAAAGAAGAGGAGTGTGCAGGCATTAAGATATAGATTATTTATACTAATAATAGAGGAGAATTTGTTAAGAAAGAGAATTAAGCATAGGCTAGAGCTAAATCTATTAAATAGAAACTTATAGCACTATATGCTTATAGCCAGAATCTAGTTATAGAATATCTTATACACACTATTCTGATAAAGGTTCATGCTATCATTGATGATAAGACTATTCTATATAAACTATAGGGCAAAATTATAAAGGGAGTTATTCTAATTAAGAATATTTTACCTATTTAAGGTAAGAATATAACTCTATATAAAATATAATTTAGTAAATATCTAGATATTAGCTCTCTGCAGATCTTAGGTTTAGTTAGATATCTTATTATTATTAATAAAATTAAATCTAAGCAGGGTATTATAAAGATTAATCTATATACTATTTACTGCTATTTAGTTGGCTACACCAGCCTAGGCAAGTAATATATTATTTAGATACTAGTAACTAATAAAGTTAAATATACCTATAATATTATTTTTAAAGAAGGAAGTGATCCAGATCTCTATAGAGATCTAGATAATAATTATAGAAAATTTATTAATCTACTAGCCATTCCACCTACTGACCGCAATCTAAATGAGGTTATTAGTAATAATAATTTAGATTAAGATATTATTAAAGGCTAGGACCCTACTATATCTAATCTACCTAGACTGGAGGACAGCATTCCTATACTATAGATATATATAGATGTAGGTCCTAGCATTACTAAGGACACTAACTTCCTGCATAGAGGCCTCTTTAGTAAGCTAGTTAAGGACCTTCTAGAGTATTCCTAGCTAGAAGTAATTTAGCTTATGGAATAGGGGGTGCATTATATTAATACTAAGGCTATAGAAAAGTATATATAGAATTATATTATTATTAGGTATATATATATTAGTGATAATTATACTAATATTATTAAGCCTTCTTCCTTCTATGAGGTAATTAACTCTCCTAAAGCAGATAATTAGTAGAATATTATAAAAGTAAAAGTAGATAATCTTATTAAATAAGATATCTAGATGCTTAAGGCCCTGCCTACTAGCTATAAGGCTATTAAGGGGTGTTAGGTCTATAAGATTAAGATTAGTACTAATAATAAGATTATCTAATTTAAGATAAGATAGGTTACTAAAGGCTATACCTAGATACCTAGAGTAGATTTTAACTAGATATTTTTACCTACTATAAAGCTAGCTACTATCCACCTATTCTTCATGCTTATGGCTATCTTAGGCTATTATTATATTAAGGCAGATATCAAGCTTACATTCTTATAGGGTAAATTCTTTAATAGTAAAGTTATCTATATAAAATAACTATAAGATTTTAATAATAAATCTAGCTATATATGCTGACTATTACTTCCTTTATATAGATTAAAGTAATCTATATATACCTAGTATCTTATCTTCTATAGTAGAGTTACTAAGATTAGATTATAGCTATCTAAGATTAATAAATACCTCTTCTTTAATACCTATAGTGTGCTCCTTATCTTATATATTAATAATATAGAGATTACTAGACCTTCTAAGTAGATTGCTAAGGGGGTGTGTAAGGCTATTAGTAAACTATTTAATATTTTACTTATCAGCCTAGCTACCTATTATCTAGGCATGAAGATAGATCTAGATATTAAGAAAAGATAGGTTAAGCTATCTTAATATACTTACCTTTAATATCTTATTAATATATTTAATCTATATTTAGTTAAAACTATAGTAATGCCCATGGAAGAAGATGCTTAGCTAGTTAAATTAGATAAGCCTATTAAATATAATCTTAAACTTAAAAAGAGATATAGAGTAGGAGTTAGCTTAGTTATATATCTAATACTATAGACTAGGCTAGATACTACCTTTACTATTAGGAAGCTAGCTAGATATACTATAAATCCTAATAAATCATATCTTAAGCATCTTATTCATCTTATTTAATTCTTCTATTAGACCCTAGATATCAGAATCATCTATAAGCCTCATAACATAAAAGATATTATATGTAAGCTAGGCATTATTATTAGCTATATTAATATAGATTATATAGGATGTATTAATATATGCTATTTAACTACTAGATATATCTTTATATTTAATAATAGGCCTATCTTATAGGCTTCTAAGCTATAATTAGTTATCTCTTTATCTATATATAAGACTAAATATATTACTATTATTCATACTATAAAGGAAGCTATCTAGCTTACCTATCTCCTTAAAGATATTAGCTTTAATAGTATACACCCCATGCAGATTAATACTAATAGCTAGCCTACTATAGACCTAGCCTATAATGCTCAATTCCATGCACATAGTAAGTATATTAATATTAACTATCATTAGATCAGAGATATAATAGTTAAGAATCAGGTCTTCCTATAATATCTTTTAATAGATAAGATAATTATAGATCTTATGATAAAGCTGCTCAGTTATCTAAAGTTTAACTAATTCTTTAAGGTGCTGGGCTTAGCCTAGTAGAGTGCCATAAATAGTAGATCTTAATGCTATAATCATAGATTAACTGCCTAATTAGGAAGTGGCTATGACCTTATTAATTAAATCTGGGGGTGTATGGCTATACTTGGTATGGTGGAGATCTGATCACATGATCTTGCTCAGTAGAATAGCTCCTGCCACTGTATGATAGTAAACATAGATTTTACATACATAACAAATTAATGAAATATCTTCATATTCTGAACCTCTCTCTGCTCATTCTACAATCAACTCAGCACACTTCTCCCCAATGCCATATGCAGGCATCTGAGTATGTCCCCCATGCAGTGTAGGCATGGCACTGCAATCCGCAACCCGAAGGCCAACAACTCCCCTCACCCGCAGCTTGTTATCCAGCACCGCCATCGGATTGTCATCTTTGCCCATCGCGCATGTACCGGAAGCGTGATAGCCTATCTCGTTAGTTACGTGTGTGCGCACCAGTTTCGAGTACGGGTGACTTACAAGTCGTCGCATGCTCCTTGACGTACGGGATCCACTCCTCCCTCGTCTTGTACGTATGATGCTTGAGATTCGGCGGCCACGAGCCCTTGACGATATCCTTTGTTCCCGCACCGTTCATAACAATCTCATTGCCGAAGCGACACGCCTCTGTCAGCACGAGCAGATCCAGCGGCTCAGACAGATAGTTGCAGTCGATGACCGGGTTCTCCTTTGGATCCTTGGACTTGAGCGTCACCGTGCCGCGCGACTTGGGCGCAAACAGCTCGGCGATCATGGAAAAGGCGTGTTTGTGGTCGATGGGGAACTGGTTGTACTGCTTGGGACCGCCGTAGCACTCGGTCGTGAAGAACTCGATGTTGGGCTGTTTGGGGGTGAGGCCCATGGGGTCGCGGCCGGGTTGGCGGGTGGCTTCGCGCCAGAGCGGCTCGTCCTTTAGACGGTCGTCGATGCGGGCGAATGCGAAGGAGCCAAAGGGAAAGGTGGAGAGGAAGCCGGACTTGTGTTCTTTCCACTGCTGGTAGGTTTTGGCGAGGTTGTTGTCGTGGTAGACGTGGAAGTCGGTCGTGAGGCCTTCTTTTTCGGTTTCGTAGAACATGAATACGATCTGCGATGTGAGTGTCGTGTGTATGTGGGCGGAGGGATGGTCTTACCAGGTGGTCCATGAGGTTCTTGCCCACGCCGGGGAGATCAACTTGGCAGGGGATGCCGTGCTGCTCCAACTCCTGGCGAGCACCGATTCCAGAGCGCATGAGGATGGCGGGACTGCAGTACGCCCCTCCAGAGACGATGATTCCCTTTCGCGCGTGGAATGTGCGCGGCGTCCCATCTGCCAGCTGAGTGATGACGCTGGTGGCTCGGAGCCCATCGGGACCTTGTTCGAGCACGACGCGGTCGACGGTGGTGTCTGTCTGGATGGTCACATTATTGCGGTGATATTCCTTGGTGATGTAGTCCGCCGCAGTGGACCGAATGCCCATGTATACCGTTCGAGGCACGTGGCCGCATCCATGGGGTACGTCGCCGGTGCTGAACATGTCGTGGTGTAGAGGCAAACCCTGTGAAACGAAGGAATCCAACAGGAGATTGGCAATAGGGGCAAGGTCATGAGGCTCGGTGTGCAGTGGGCCGGAATACCCATGGCTCTTCTCGTCCGCTTTGAACCACGGCTTGGAGTGGAAGGTTTCGGCCTACGCAGTCAGTATATCTCAAACTACTCTCGTAATGAACAAATACCTTTCTCATGGCAGCAAAGAACTCCTCGCCACTCCAACCTTCCAGTCCCCAGTCATCGTAATCCTGCTTGGCACCTCGTATGCACAGTGTACCATTGCATCCGCTAGAACCGCCGAGGAACCGACCACGGCTCAGTTTCACCTGCCGATTGTCGACTCCAGGCATTGGGCTTGTGATTAGGTTCCAGTCGGTCTCCGAGTCAAAGTTATTTGACCATCTACAGGGAGTTAGCCATGAGGTAAAAGTTCACCCTGGTAATCACATACCCTCCGGCCATGTGTACATTTTCCAGGTCCCGATTGTGTTGTCCGGCTTCGATGACGAGGATTTTGATATCGGGATTCTCAGCAAGACGGCCTGCGACTACACAACCAGAGGTTCCTCCTCTGTAAATAGTGAGTTAGTGGCCACGAGTGGCATACCTGGTCCTGGGTGATATACTCACCCACAGATGATGTAGTCATATTCATTTTGCGTATCCACAATCGAGCCCATGATGCCGTCTGTCTGTCTGGAAATTGAGTTTGAGAAGAGTGTCAACGTCAGGCTGGAGTATCATCTTGTCGAAAAATCCCCCTTATTATGGTTGACAGGGTTCATATGCAAGAGGGGTAAAGGCGAAGCTAGGGTCTCTCGTGTCACCGCGCCATTCAGTTCTGCCACTCCTGAGTCTGTCCGACCATAATCCGAGGGGAAACTGCAGCATGTACGAGCAGGGTCGACTCTGAAGTTACTCGCATGTCGAGGAAAATGGTGCTGCTCCCGGAAAACCATACACCGTGTCCTGACCGTCGTGACGGCTGAACTCTATTGGCCTAATGGGCGAATATGGTCGTTTATAATGGTTTCTGATTGGATCTTTCTTGGGAAGCCTGGAAGCGTCGACGATCGTCTTCCTATGAACGGGTCAATAACCAGAGGGATGGGGGCCAGAACTGAGTTGGCAACAATACGGCATTCGGGGAGAAAGGAATTGGTCTCCAGATATCTAGTGTGTGTCAACTTCTGCATCATCCCTGCTGGCTTCCCCTTGGCGGGAGGAACCGGCGATCATTCCCATAGATAGAGTGACAGACAGACAGCTTGTGACACGTCGTCTTCCATGGAGTTCTATTCCTAGGTACAGATGGGATCATCAACCCAAGACGAAGTAGAAAAAGAAACGTTGTAGTGAATCGGACATCTGCAGAACACAACGCCAATGCATCATGCAGCTCTCAGCTCACACGTATGACAGGTCTCGGCATACGCCGTCCTCAAACTTCAACGGGCGTGACTAATACTGAGTCCTCTGGAAATCACCCCAGAAAATAGTGGATCGATCCGATGCGCCTTGGCCAAAGACGTCCGCTCCTCGACAGTGGCCGGCCGCTCTTTTACTCGTTCTGGTAAGCCGTTGTGCCTTGTGGCTTGGACACGAAAATAATAACAATGGGCCTACAGAGTATGTCTCATGCTGAGTCCACTTTCCGAGCTCCGAAGTGTCAATTTAGTAAATGCAATTTGTTCCTAGCGGGCTAGCACAGATGCCTAACCTGTTAGGAGTTAAAACATGGGGCCGGCCTTTTCCAATTTCTCTCACCTCATACGGAGCTATTCCGTACTGGAGTCTGGATAGGTAGCTTTTCGCTATGGACTGTTGGGGAAGCTTATGCCGCACTGGCCCAAGCCAATCAACTTTAAAAACGAGCCTGGGACATTACTTGAACTGTCATTAAGTCTAGTCTAGACTCTCTCCTTAGTTCTTTGTACCATTGTGTGTACGAAGAAGTAAGAATGCGATGCATTTCCTTACACAGAGAGAAGGCAATTACCACCACTCAGATGCCACAGATTGCTCGCCTTAAACATTTGCGGCTGGAAAGAACAAATTCTCCCATCGTGCAGGCTACCGTAAAAGCCTAGAAGCAGATATGGCGTTCTTAAAAGCAGCAACCGCCATAGCCTCGTATTTTCCATTGCCGGTCCCACATCAGCCAATACTATTTCACATGCTGCACCCAGGAATCCTAGATAAGCACAAAGTACGGACAGACAGTATGTTAGTTTCTCTAGACAGCACAATACCTAGAGCTCATGGCATAGCAGAGCAAATGGCTCGAACGTAGTGTGCGGCCTTGGAGCATCGACTTGTCAACAAAGGCATTCTTTGTGAACCCTAATACAGTTTTCATGAGTAATAACCCTGGTCAGGGGTGTGTTAGACTTTCAACGATCGCCGTCAGCCAAGGACTGGACAGAGGTCTAGAAGATAATGGTCAGCAAGCTTTAATGATCCATTGTAGTCTTATGGCACCATTGACCAAGATCCTGGAAGGTCCTCCCGCCAATCCAACAAGACATTGTCTCATGCCGAGACAGGACGTATGGGCGTCGACTAGACATCTTATTGTTATGTAGATCATTTCAACGAGTCCCCTTCTCTGCCGGCATTTTCCACTATTACGAGAGTTACCATAATTCTATCCATCCTAACCAGGGAACGAGAGCCACAGCTCTGGTTCGGAAGTCTGTAAACCTAGATGATCGTACTCCGAACCCAAATCCTGTCGATGGGTTTCCCCTGACGTGCACCTCCATGCCCTGGTGAAGACAAAGCTTGAAGATATTTTACCAGACGCAGATCCACTAACAATCCATGCTGGTGGACCAGTCAACTTCCTGCTGCATGAATGGCAAGCTCCATCCAAGACACCTTGCGCTGGTTCATTTAAGATACAGCATCCAAAACATCGGACATCGTACGATCCCTTGAAGCGTCCCACGTCCTGTTCTTGCTCATTGTTCAGTCTACCGAAATGGGACAGGCAACTCCGTTTCAGAAGGAGGCTTGGACGGAATACGGGATCGGGGTTCTCATCATTCTTGGTCGAATATTTGCACGATGGAAGGTGGTTGGAGTGAAGAACTGGCAGGGCGATGATTACTTTGCCATTGCCGCATTGCTCTTTTGGACCGTGGGTTCTCTCGTATCTTTGGCAGAATGAGACTCCATCCACTGACAGAGATATGCAGGCCGAACTCACCATGTTGGAACTCATTGGTACGTCGTCTCGACCGATCGCGATGGATAATCGGCTGACTGAACAGGCCAACATGGTGCCAACATTGGCCTCACTGATGCTCAGCGAGCCGCCATGACCCCAGAGCAGGTCGAGAGTCTTGTCATTGGCTCCAAATGCCTGCTTGCTGGATGGACCTGCTATGTGACCCTCATCTGGTGTCTCAAGGCCTGCATGCTGTTCTTCTACAACCGCTTGACGTATGTTTCCCGTCACCATCCAGACGAGATGCTAACCATAGTAGACTGGGTCTCATGCAGCAGAAGCTCGTCAAGATCAACGCTGTGGTGTGCCTGTGTTCCTATGTCGCGGTCATCTTCACCATCTTCTTCCACTGCTTCCCGATCCAGAAGCATTGGCAGATATACCCGGATCCAGGAGGTAGGCACCATCACTGGAATTCTGCATATGACGATGGGATCTGACTCCACATAGAACAATGCACTGTCGACCGAATCAACTACCTCGTCCTCGCCGTAACCAACGTCTCGTAAGTCGCATATAAGAAACCAAGCCACGAGAGACTAACCATCGCAGAACGGATGCCGTCCTTGTCTCGATTCCGATTCCCCTGCTAGCAAAAGTTCGATTAGCATTGCGCCGGTACGCACATCACTTTCTAGCCTGCAGACGCTGGCCCTAACAAAAACAGAAAACTCGTCATCGGCGTCCTCCTCTGCGGCGGTGTCTTCGTCATGTGCGCAGCCCTCCTCCGCTGCATTCTCTCCCTGCAGAGCATCAACAGCATCAACACCAGCACCATCTGGGCCATCCGCGAGACCGTACGCCCCCTTCCCTCACTTGCCTGAATGACAACTAACCAACCAGTTCGTCGCACTCATCGCCGTCAACGCCCCCTGCATCAAACCCCTCTTCAGCACCTCCGTCTGGCTCGGCTCCTCCAAGGACCTCTCCTCCAAGAACGTCCATCGCTACGGCGCAAGCGGCAGCTACTCCCTCTCCGTCTTCGGCAAATCCAAACCCGATCCCCTGGCGTCGAACATGAGTAAACTGGGCGATCACGCCAGCGACGAGTTCATCCTGCGCGAGCAGAGTCAGAGTGGGCCGACCTATGTGAACGATGTGAGTGGCGGTCATGGCCAGCACGTGGACGAAGAGTCGGGCAAGTTCTCCGAGGGAGGGATACAGGTTACTACTATGTATGAGGTGAAAACGGGGAGGGCTTAGGTGCATAGAAGGATGGACACTTTTTGGGTGGGATGTATATTACCGATACCAACTGGCCTCGGCGGCTCATTTCCTTTGTATGTTCATGTACGATGACTTTTGTTAGATATCTAGAGTGTAGATTCAATTTTCGGTCTTACAAGATATATGAGTATGAGTAGACCGTCTACGTTTCCCAAATGGACTGAGATTTATGTCTCATTTGGTAGATATATATGGGAGGCCGAAGGAACTGAGAGACTTTCACAATGCGAACCGGTCTTCAAGAATTTGCACCCACAGCAGATTAGAAAATGTGAGGCGGAAAATAATGGATTTAGATTAGAAAAAAGCTAAAGACAGGGAGTCAAAGTAAATCCTGTAGGGGAAAAAAAAAGGGCTAAGCGTGGATCGAACACGCGACCTTAAGATTTGCAATCTCACGCTCTACCACTGAGCTACCAGCCCTATTGGTTGATGAAACTTTATTAATTCTATACTAATAACTAGTGCTGCATCTCGACCGAAGAGCTGGATACTTGATTGCTCGCGAAGGTCCAGCTGCTGCCACGAAGGTTATTATATCCGCTCTATACATATTCACTTCAATCATGCAGAGGCTAAGGTATCGACCTAAGCTGAAGGTTTCTTTTCGGTAGAGGATATACATGTCAGTACGCCCCAATTGTACACAGTTCGAGCCATGCGTCACTGAATTGCAACCCGGGCTCAGACACCTTTTCTTATATTGACGCTGCCGCGAGGTATTTTCCATCTTGGGCAGCAACCTGCACCTTGCTGCTTAGTCCAAGACATTGTTGCGGGTCGTCAACTGGCCAACCTCAGCTTGACTATATGTGCAAGACACCTGCGTGGGAAGGCCCTTCTTGGTATGTTCCCTCATTATAAATATTAAGCACAATCATGAATCTAATAACAACAGATCTGCTTGTGAAGTCATAGTTCTATGAATATCAGAGACATGCTCCATCATATATGTATTGACTGTCTCTTCAATGCTTCCGAACTACATATATAAACCTACAGATATGTGCTCGTCCAAATCAGAGAATGCACACAACCGTATAGTGCATAGTCCAGAGTACTCAAACATCTGGCCTATCGCTCAGATACAACTCCAGCAGACGCCGACTCTCCTCCAGCACATCACAGCGAAAATTATACTCCATAAACTCCGGCGGCGAGGAAGGGATCTTGGCCCCTTCCGGCATATACCGCGCCGCGCGTTCCTTGACTTTCCACCCCTGTTCCTGTCCGGCATTGGAGAATATCGTTATTATAGACGCACGACTAACACGCACCTTTTCGAACAGCGCTAGACGATCCCGGATCTCGTCTTGGGTCGGGTGATCCGGCATGCGAGCGAAGATCTCTCCCAAGGCACCGCCGTCCTCGATCGCCTGGGCGCCGCCTTGGCCCTGGTCTGGAGCGGTAAGCTACTTGAAAAGGACGATGGGGAATGACGTACGAGGGAGCATTGGGTGTGCTGCGTCGCCGATCAGCACAAGGCGTCCGCGACTCCATTTTGGGATGGGATCGCGGTAGAGGAGCGGCCATCGTTTAACGCTTGTTGCTTTTCTGTGCTTGGTTAGCGCATGTTTTGGGATGATCAACGACCCTACTTGATAATTCTCAGAAGCGTCGGGTGGAAGTCGTGGAACTGAGCGAGAACGTCGCTGACGTCGGCGGACAAGGTCCAGTCTACCGCAGACGGTCAGTATTTGAATAATGAACGTGACAGATATGGATACTAACCTTCCTTTTGACCATCGCCATGCTCATGCAAATGAATACCCACAAAATTCTCAACTGTGTTACTGATCCTCATGAGTTGATGCGTACAATACTCAATGGTTGGGGAGAGCCTTACTCGGCGCACGAATACCAAACTAGTCGTCGCACACCCTCCGTAACGTATATCCTCATCAATCCATCCTCCAGAAGGTGCGCGGTCTCAGGATCCTGCTGGATATCCTCCGTCGGAATCAGAAACCGAAACGCAGCGGAGCCAGTAGCAACAGCCGGGGTAGCATGGCCGATGACCTGGTGCATGGCGGTAGTATGCACACCATCCGCGGCGACGACAAGATCCGCTCGATGAATTGACCCATCAGCCAAAGTGATCGACCCATTCTCAGCATCGAAGCCAACGACCTCAGATCGCAGGATGATCTCCACGGGGATTCCGGGCGCGTCGGGTGTGGTCGCCAGGCGTCGCAGTTCGGAGTGCAAGTCGACCCGATGAGCCAGATACCAGGGTGCACCATACGTCTTAACAAAGTGGGAGCAATCTACGCCGACGTTCGATGTGAGCGATGTTCCTGGTACCACCATCGTTCGAAGACCTGTCACAAGGCGAGCTCTCCTCGGGTCGAAACCCCAGTGTAAGAGGATCCGGGAGGCGTTTGGCTGGACATGGATTGCGGCACCGACTTCACGGAGGAACGAGGAGCGTTCGAATATCTGTCATGCTTAGTTCTTCTCAACTCAACCTGTTCTAACAGAGATTTACCTGCACCTTGTGGCCGGCACGACGGAGTCCAATCGCAGCCGCCAGTCCAGCGATTCCGCCGCCAACTATAATGACCTTCATCTGTGAGTATCGAGGATCTCGGGGTATAATTTAAACTACGTATGGAGTTAAGCAATGGACAGTTCGGTGTCGGTTTGCAGAAATGGCGGGGCAAGGGTCGATGAATCACCTCCAGTTCACCGACTGAACAAGGGGGAGACGCATATTTCATGCATCAAACCCTTGCCTGACAGCGAATCAAGATTAGATCATCCCTGCATATGCATCAAAGTTCAGGTATTAAGACGATTACGTGGATAGCGGTGATACAAGATGAAGCTACGCTAAAGAATCGAGATATGCTTTCAAACTGGATATGACATTGGCACAGACAACAGACAGACGATATGGAAGAGCCCACGAGTCAACAAAACAACCAGTCAATGCAAACAGGATTATACTCCAAGAGAAAACAAACACAACTACTCTTTGTCCGTAAGCAAATCCACCAAAGCCTGGTTACCATACCGCTGTGCCAGACTGGCCGCAGTCTCACCCGCATCATTGACAAGCGCTGGATCAGCACCACGCGAGAGGAGAAAGACAACAATTTCCGGAAAGCGATTGCAAGCCGCAGCTTTTATGAGGGGCGTCGTACCCTCCACTGTCCTCTCATTGATAGTCCCCGGCGACCGAACAGCAATCCACTTCAGAAACTCCAGATCGGTGGCACATTCCGCCGCCGCATGCCAGGCCGTCTCGCCCGAGTCGCCATGAACGAACGCAGCCAGATCGATCCCATCAGCCAATAGCAGCTCCGCCAGACGGGCGTCGCAGAATTTGCATAGCGCGTACACGGCGTCGTCAGACAATCTCCGCTGCTTGCTGGGGATGTGTCGAACGCGGTCCCACAAATGTTGAAAGATCGATGCATCCCAGGTCGCGGCGAGAGAGAGGAAGGCGCCGTCTTCGGAGTCATTGCTGGCGCCTATGCGTCCGCAAAGGTCCTCAGGGGAAGAAGTGTCGATGAGGTAGCGCGAGATGCGTTCGGCTTTGGAGGCGAGAGCCAGTCCGAGGAGCTTCCAGCCACTGCGGCTGTAGTGCTGGAGGTTGAGGCCGGTGTCGACGAGACATTTCAGGGTTTTGACGCGGTCGTACCTGATAATGTCGGTGATGGGATCTGATGAGTGGTCGGTTAGTTTTTTGAAGGCTTTCGCGCTTGGGACGGTATAGATGTTGTAGTTAATGAAGCGTTTCTGCACAATGTCTTTGGCATGGGGCGCGAGCTCACCGTCTGACTCAATGATCTTCCATAGTTCTGGGGTCTCAAGGTACTTCAGACTGGCAGGGGAGATTTTGTACAGCTCTGATGACATTTTCAAGGTTCGAAAGGGAATCACACAATAGGTTTGGAGGGAGGGAGATTGAATTGGATGGAGTAGATGCAAGTTCCGTCGCCTTGATAGACATGGGGTTTTATAGGGCTCTCCATTCGTTGTCTTAGATATGGCATCATCTGCCTGAGTGCCATTACCTCTGAGCATGAGACAGTTGCGGCATTACGTTGGCACCGGCGATGTGCGACAGTCATGAATTATAGGGGAATACAATGCATTGTTTCACCCTCCTTTGTCTCCCGACACATGGTAGAACAACAATGCATTGTACTCTAAAACTAGATGCACTGGGAGAGAGACATATCGAGTCCGGTCTATTGATCGACGGAAAATTCCGACTGCACCTCCTTCCTCATAAACGCCTCCCACAGCTTAACCACCTCCCCATCCAGCGTCCTCTCCTCATAAAGCGGCTCTTCCTTCCAGCTAACATACCCAAGACTTTCATACCACTCCTGAATACTGAACGACGGCGGCGACATGCCCAGTCTCTCAAAAAGACCCCGCCACTCCGGCCCCTCATCATACACATACCGTTTACTCTGCGCATTGAGCGTAACGAATCGGCAGCGCGGGCTACCATACGGCTCCACGACGGCCGTCTCCTCGATCAAGCGCATCGCACGTCGTCCCAGCCCGTAGGAGCGGTATTCGGGCAGGACGAAGAACGAGCTGATTGTCAGCACGGACTTGTCCGCGCGCGCCAGGTCGGGCTCCGGCGGGTCACAGTATGCGTCGAGGGCGATGTGGCCTGCGCGAATGCGAATGCCTTTGTCATCACCGTTGCTGGGTTCCGGGATGGTGATCCAGAAAAGGGCTTTGAGGTTTTCTTGTTGTTTTTGTTTCCATTTCTGGAGGGTCTGTGGGTCGGAGAACCAGCCGCAGATTGTGCGTTGTCTTTGTAGCTCGGCGAATTGTTCTGCGTCTTGTAGATTGACGGGTTCGAGGAGGCATTTGGTTGAGATGGATTCTGCTTTCATGATTGCGATGGAGTATGGATTGGAGTTAGAACGTTCCTGCGTCTTTGAATTTGACTTGCATGTGTCATACTCATACCGGCTAGAGTCGGGAGTCTTGTAGTCTTGCTGGCCAGTCTAGCCTCTACAATCAGAACACAGCATTACTCAGCGAGTGATGGCCTGGTATTGCATCAATAACGATGAGCCAAGTGTGGCAGTGTTGAGTCTTGACCAATCAATGCTTAAGATAGTAGATTGCTTCAACTATTGCGAATATTACTTGGCGATAGTTCAGGGATACACAGGCGTATAAAGGCAGCACCTCAACCACAGCATTCTCAGCTTCTTATCAAGCAAGCGAACAAACGTACTCTAGTAAGTCTGCGCTCTCTGAAGCAATTAAGGTGCGTCTTCAAGTCCTATATCTCCTACCAACGTAACACCTCACTACCATCCAGCTGAGATTAGCCTCCGCCCAAGCCTCCCAGGTGGCAGACTGTAGGAGGGACAGGTAGATGCTGCCACCTAGGATAAGAGGAACAAGAACAAACAGCCGCTTGTGTCCCAGTAACTGAATTATATGCCATTCCCACCTCCCGTTTTGTATCTATTCTACATCCTGTAGTCCTCCTCCACAGCGATAACAGGCTGAGTCGCACAGTGAATCACTCCACCAGCTAGTGGAAGCGCATGCACATACACAGGCCGTATCACTCGGCCAGGACATAGCTTCTGAAATGTTTCCACAGCCGCTTGATCGCGCACTTCATCGCCAAACTGAGGTAAGATCAAGCCACCATTGACAAAGTAAAAGTTCACGTAATTGGTCGCCGGTTCGTCATAGGACAAATTCCCGAAAAGAGTCGGTTCCGGCTCATCCACCGTATGGATCTCAAATGGACGACCCTTTGCGTCCACTGTCTGAGTCAGAATCTCTCTGATTTCCTCGTAAACGTCGAGCCACGGCCGAGGCACACTCGCATGGGGCCTCGAAAGAACAACCACACCCGGCCGGATGAAGTTGACCTCAGCATCGGCATGCACATCGGTGATATCGAGGCCTTTCCGACCAGGGAACCAGATGATTTTCTCAACCCCCAGCAAGCGTTGTAGCTCTGCTTCGATCTCGCTCCGCGAAAGGCCTGCGTTGCGGTTGTCATTGATGATGCTGCTTTCTGTGGCTAGGAGGGTACCCTCCCCGTCCACGACTAATGCACCGCCTTCCAGACAGACTCTGGACTCGACGAGTGTCACCGGAGCGGGAGAGGTATCAGACTCTATGACTCTCCTGGCAAAGGTCGTATTCTCGTCCAGTTGCTCAGCGTTCATGATAGGCCAGTCCATCTCATCGGCAGCACGATCAGTGCTCTCCATCTCATCCCTTTTTCCCCACTCACGGAACCGAAAGTTGATGGCGAATCGGCGTGAGCGGGCATCTCCAGTGCCGTGCACATATACGGGCCCGGTATCCCGAACCCAGAGATGATTTGTGGGAAACGGGATGAAGGAGATATTCGAGGTGTTGCCGGCATACTTTGGGATGGCTTGGTTGACCATCGACTGGGCTTTTGGGATATCTTCAGGTCGCGAGTATAACCGGACTGGCTCGAAGGCTGAGATTGCAGAGGCGAGACTGGCTATGTCGGTACATGCCTTGTCATAGTAGGCTGATGCGATCGAGTGTTTGGATGGAAATCCCAAGATGGTTGCCAGATGACGGGAGGTTTCTGCAGGGTAGATGTATCTGCCAGCGCCCTGTGCTACTGTCGATGCTGCCTTTGACATGGCTTGAGAGTATCTCATATTTACATTAATCGTTGTCACTTTGTGTTGACCTTACAGAAGACTTTTTGACTTGATGGGGGGTCTGGTATTAATAGGCGACCTCCTCGTCTGATGGGTGGGGTAATTGGGTTATGGAATGCTTCTTGTTGCCCGTATTCGGCAATAGAGACGGCCAATCACTGCAGCTAGTTCGAGATAGATTAGGCTACCACATATGGGATGGATGGATGGAATCTCTTTTGGCCTATCTCAATACTAATAGATATATACAAATTCGTCGTTGTCACGGTCAGTCACATCCAGCAGTCCATTGTTGCCCATCTCCTCCTGCATCCCCTCCTCATCGCCTCCCGCACCGTGATAGTGATTCTCCATCGAGCGATCCACCATCTTGGCCGGCTTCCCATTCCGCACTCGCTTCTTCTCCTGCAGCTTGTTCAGCAGGACCAGATCAGCCCACTGGATCAGCACGACAGCGACCAGCGCCACGAAAATCCCCAGACAAGCTTGTAGACCGGGATGGTACGTCGGTGCATCCGCCGAGCTGAACAGAAGCGGTCCGACGATATTACCTGCCGCACTTGCCGCATTGTACAGACTCATCACGACAGACTTCTTCGTCATACCGGCCGTATTGCCGACCATCCACGAGACCACCAGCGGATTGCCGGCAAACAGGAACGAAAGCAGATAGTATCCCGCCATCAGCGCGCCCTGGACCGACCCATTACGCGGCAGGGCATGCAGCATCGCCAGCCCGGCAACGACTGGTACCATGAACGCCGCCAGGATCGCGCCCTTCAACCGCGCCTTTTGCGCTAGGTAACTAGCCAGCAGAATCACGATCCATTGCAGCGCGCCGAACGGCATGTTCAGCAGGGTGGTCGTGTACTTGTTGAAACCGAGACCCTTGAGGATCAGCGGGCCAAAGACGTTGGTCACGCTGGCGCCGATGTTGAGGAGCATGGCCATCGCGATCCACAGGTATGTCTTTGGCTCGAGGCCGGCTTCGACGACATGCGAGAGCTTGAACTCGCGGCTTCCGGCGCCGGTCTGGTTCGCGCGGAGTCGTTCCATCGCCTGTAGCTTTTCTTGTTCGGTCAGGAAGCGGGCGGAGACGATGTCGTTGTCCATTTTCCAGTAGACGATTGGGGCGGTGATGATCGTGAGGAGGCCGACGAAGAGGAAGATACTGGTCTGATTAGCTGCGATTTCAATACTAGGTCATTCAGCTTACATCTGCCACTCCTTGAGCAGATCCGACTTGATATGTCCCAAGCCGTAGGACAGGGCGGCGGCCACGATCGTTGCCAACCCGTTGGTACTGTACCAGGCTGCGACACGGATCGGCTGCTCCGCACGACGATACCATTGACTTGTGATGATAGAAAACAGCGGCAAACACCCAGCCTCGAAAAGACCGAGGAAGAACCGCGTGGCCATCAAGCCCCCAAAGCTATGGCAGGCCGCCATGCATGTCTGCGCAATACCCCATCCGAGCACCAACGAAGGCATCAGAATCCGATGCGGTACTTTGACGATCAAGAACGAAGAAAAGGGTTGCCAGGCCAGCTGAGCGATAGGGGCGATTGAACCAACAAGCGAGTACTGGTTGCCGGTGAGGTGAGTGTCGGTTTGGAGGCCAAATGTGGCGCCGTACCCGAGCACAGATTTATCGAGGATCTGAAGGAAGTATACCCAAACCAGAATAACGAGAATGACACGGTCGGTCTTGCGGCAGATACGCTTGCTCTCTTCCTCGGTGAGGGGGATTCGAACGGTGTGGATGGCGTCGAGGCCGGTGGGTTTGGCCATTTCCTGGCCTTCATCGTGGAAGGACGCCGGTTTGGAGGTCATGTTGGACTGTATATGAGCACTAGAAGGCCAGATGCCCGGCCGATGGAGAATTCTAGTCAACAGGACGGTCTGAACTCTTTATATCAGTAGGCATATGCACCCCCACGCAGTGTCCTAGATTTCTCCACGGGGTTGAAGCTTTTGGCACTGAGTCTGGGTCATTCACATTCATGCGGTCCGAGCTTATCCGGCTATTGAACGAGCTAATGAGCTTCGTGCCGATCGACTCTTTAGTAGTACTGTAAACTACTCCATCTGACCGATTCTCAGTCCCCGGAAAAGTCCCCGCATTCTCAAAGTTTGCCGTCTGCATGTTGCACCCCCACGCCTCCGCAAAGTCTGCCCCCCACTGACGGCCTGGGCTGATGCTTTCAAAAGCTATTCCTGATTTCACTATTATTACAGGGTTATGAACAATCATAGATGACAAGGGGAAGTGGTGACATCAGACAATAGCTCTGTCCTATGCCAAAGTGGAATCTGGCCTTGTTCCTGCTGTTTCAGTGAAGACTGAACCGGAACGTATACTAGCCAGTCTCTTCGAGATTTAGGTAATAGTATACAGGCAGGTTGCAGATATCGGTCTTTCTACATGCTAATGTTCCTTGGTCTATCTCTAGCATCTATTGCTTTGCTGCTTATTTGGATGCTCTACTGAAGGAAGACTTGCGACCATGATATCCACTCACAACTAGTACCCTGTTTACACAAGAATAGGAACAAAGTAGCAGCCTCATTCAGTGCCTTTAAAATGTCTTTGAGCACTTGCTCTGGCACATCTCTTTGACAATATGTCTTTGTCCGGTCTGTTTTATTTGACTCGGAGAAATGAGCGCCTGAAATACGAGGCACCAACAACGGGCCTTGATCTCTGCCTGTGATTGGTCAATTAGCGATATTTGCACGGCACAACAATTAAGGTTCAAAAAAATCTAGTCTTTTCTTTTCCTGTTGCTGTTCTCTGTCTTGATCTTTTCTTCCAGTTTGTTCACTTCATCAATCTCGCAGGATTGCCACGACTGCCTTACAGAGAGATCAAAGCTTGTTCCTACCGGTGCAACCTGTCAAACAAGCGTTATGCCTTTTGCCCAGTCCATCGGCCAAGAGGGCCAAGAGAGCCAAGAGAAACGACCCATGACCAGTAATAATGCTGCAGAAGACGAGGATGACCTGCAGCTGCTGAAACTGGGCTATCGATCCGAGTTGGCCCGCGCATGGGGTGCATTCGACAATTTTGCCTGCTCCTTCTCCGCGCTGTACTGCATTGGCGGTATCCGTGTGCTTTTCTACATTGCGCTGAGCGCCGGTGGACCAGCTGCTATGTATGTCACCCTTGTTACCTTCTTTCTCTGAATTCAACTGACGGTGAGAAGGTGGAGCTCATGGGTTTCTGGAAGTATCGTGGCCATCATCACCGCTGCCACTCTGGCAGAGGCCTGCTCCACCTACCCTGCAGCAGGATCAATCTACTACTGGGCTTTCCGCTCGTGGGGAGGCGGCAAGATCGGCCGGTTTGTGTCTTTCCTTGTTGCGGCTTGGACGCTGGTCGCTTGGACTTCGTTCCTCGCAACCGACTCGTTTGGAGTGGCCAACTATGTCATTTCCGAAGTGGTAGCCTTCAACCCAAACACGTCGATGCCGTATGAAACATCGGATGTCAAGGCTCGCGCGGTTGCCTGGGCTTTGTCCTTGCTGTTCCTGGCACTGGCAACCTCGCTGAATTTCCTCCCGCCTCGCACCTATGCGTGGGTCTTCCGCGCAGGCTTCATCGTCATCGTGGTTGACATTCTCCTGAATGTGATCTGGCTGCCCATCGGAGTCTCCAAAACCTATGGCTTCCGGTCCGCGGAGTATGTCTTCACCTCCACATACAATGGGGGAAGTACAGCACCCAGTCTGAACTGGGTTCTGTCCTGGTATCTGCCTGCCAGCTGTCTCGTCGGCCAGGATGCCTCTGGCCATGTCGCCGAAGAAACACTCACGGCCAGGAAATCTGCCGCCAGAGGAGTCTTCTGGTCGACCGTGGCCTCGGCCCTCTGTGGTTTCCCCATTATCATCCTCTTCCTGTTCTGCATGCCCCCGATCGAAACATTCTACGACACCCGTGTACCGCAGCCGTTTATCAACATGTATGCCATGGCTCTGGGTCACCATGCTCACGCTGTCGCAACAACGGTCGCGATAATCGGAGCGGTTCTGAACACATCCATCTCTCTTGTCGCCGTTTCCCGACTGGTCTTTGCCATCGCACGAGACTCCGTTTTCCCTTTCAGCAATGTACTTTGCCGCGTGTCGAAGAGCAAGCAACCCCATAACGCGGTCATTTTTATTTCGACAATCGCCGCTCTCCTGCTCTGCACCCAGTTGCCTTCCCAAGTTGCCTTTTACAGCTTGACGTCTACCTCTGCTGCCGGTTCCCTTGCGGCATATGGCTTGGTCGGTTTTGGCCGCGCCTTTATCACCCGCAAGTCCTTCCGACCGGGCTTCTGGGATCTGGGTCGAGCAGGAGTCCTTTGCGCTGTCGTGACTTTTATCTGGAACAGTTTCGCCTTTTCGGTGCTGTGCGCTCCGCAGTACGGTGATAGCGCTATCGACGGGGATGCAAGCTTGTTCAACTACTGCATTGTCATCATGGCTGGCATCACAGTTGTTGCCCTGGAGGAGTGGTGGCGCAAGTCCCGGAACGACTGGTTTGGAAATCTTAAGGACGTTGACGACAGCTCGGATAGTACGGAGGAGGTTCACTCAGCCGAGAATGGGGTCGCTTCTGCTTAGGCATCGGCGACACATGGTGAGCCTACTGCAGTGAGACAGGCGGACCAGGGACAGGTAAGTGAGGACTTTTAGTATGTAGCATGACGGGTGTTCGAGGATTGCTTCGGCATGACTCGATCTGAGAAATACCGTTGAACTTGATCTGGATAATACCAGCGAAAGGACATGCTTCATACTTTTCTTCTCCTTTATGGCGTCCTGCCTTCTTGGTCTACTAACTCCAGCTGTAACTGACTGCACGTCACCGTGTTGTGCCCAACCCCTACCCTGTCAGATACCATCATGGTGGATAGTTGACCGCATGCCTGCCCAATGCGCCCGCGTTTAACGACATCGCATGCAGATGAATTCGCCCAGCGCCACGAGGA